GGAACTATTAAATTGTGAATTTAATTCCCGTGTTGAATAAATTATACCGACCTCGCTGCGAAGTCACCGGGATGCTGGTTATTGGTGTGACTAGCCCAGAAAAGCCAAACATTGCCTTTTTCTTTGCTGGTGAAGTACGTTCACCATGTTTCGCTGGTCAACCCCCCTTTGGTTGAAGTCCTGGGGTCCTGTCGAAAGGACGACTGGGCCGCCTGGACTACATTCACCACCAAGGTGGGCGGCCCCACGCAGGTTGTTGGAGACGACCTGACTGTACCTGGGACATGGCTGGGGAGACCATGGAACATTTGGAGCTTGAACCGTGGGTTAACATGGTTCAAACATGTTCAAACATTGTTAAACGTTTCACCCTTGGTCATTTGGGTGAAGTCACTGAGTGAAGTCGTTTTATTTTAATGGATTTGAAAGGGTTTCTTGCAGGAATTAGTTTAGTGTCAGACATTGGATAGAACGATTGGAGATAGCAATGTAGGTTGGAAACTTTGAGACTGGGCATCAAGCGGCATGCTCGAAATGCCAAAGAGATGAACATACTGCTTGGTTAGGCGTTGAATGCCTCCCACTGGCCAACACGTGGCTGTTGAAACAGAACTTGATTACTGTCTTACGTTTTGATGCTACAATATGCTACATATTTCCGCAGCCTTTATTCCCCTCCCAAGTGTTTGTGTGCTTGGCTGGTTCTGTTCAATTCTGGTTGGTGATTTGACATTTATTTTTCCCCACCTGCCAGGTGAGGGTCTCCAGATTTTATCCGAATTCCTTGTCTCCTTCCTTCCTCTTCCTCCTCCTTTTCTGCCTCCTCCATTCTCCTCCCTGCCAACCACGAGCTCCAGATCTCAGTGGGCACTGCCGGACCTCAACTGCGAGCTCCAGATCTCAGTGGGCACTGCAAGCTCCCAGTGGTGCTCATGGTTGAGGTCCGGCAGTGCCCATGTCAGAGAGAATATCAGAATAGATGCCAGGTAGAATGCCAGATGGGATGTCGGAATGAATGCGAGATTGAATGCCGGATAGAATTCCCGAATAGAATGTCAGATAGAATGCCAGAATAAAATGTTGGAAATATATATGCCATATATACTGTATATACTTGGAGATGAAATGTCGCATTCTATAAAGAAACTTTGTCATGGCGGGGATCACTGGAAGCAACGTATTTTTTTCAACCATAGACATGGGATGATAATGCTAATGACTAGAGCATGATGTTCACATGGTGGCTCAACCAACAGCCAGGAAAGATCTGAATTTTATCGGCTATACTTATCCGCATATGATGTTTTTTGTTCTTTGACGTTAACCTTTCAAACATCCCATTCGCAAAAAAAAGGTTGAAACCAACCTTAGCCGCCCAATGTTCCATGTAACATGCTATATGGACTACTTACCACCATTTACCAACATCCATCCAAAAAGTGATCCAAATGTAGGTAAAAATTCCATACCTGAAACACATGGCTTATGTATAATCACCACAACCCCAAACCATGAATTGGTAAGGTTGACCAACGGTTTCAATTTGTCGACGCTCAGGTTACAAACGTCTCTCGCGTCAAGAAGGCGATCGATGACAAAGCATGCCACTGGGCTCTGGGCGCTGGGCGGAGCGACAGGGGGATGGATCAACAAGGCAAGACGTGTTGGTAAAGGGCCAAAACGTCAAGAGCAAATGACATTTTCTTAACTTCTTAAGTCATGGGGTACCCCCAAATCATCCAAGTCATTAGACGATTTTAGATGATTTTAGTATTGAAAACCATGGGTTCTGTATTAGATGATTTTAGGATTTTAGATGATTTTTGATGATTTGGGTTCCGCCATTTAAAGAATCCCCCCAAATCGATTTATTTGGGGGATGAAGTAAATTTATCAAGCGCCTTGCTGTTTTGAGGTCATATTTGTTTAGGCGTTATTCAGATAGAGGAGGACTACAACATGGAATGTTAAGAAACAACATATTCCAGTGGAGGGTCAATTTTATTCTTAGCGTGATATTTAGCGTGTGCAGACCAACCACTGGCCGTAATCCTCCATCCACAGAATGAACGCCTTAATTTGGAGATCATTGTCCAAAACCTAAGTTTTACTTACGTAGTTTCAAATTCATTTTTGGGCAGCTAGACGCTGTGTATAGTGTATAGGTATATTCGTGGGGTCGGTTAGTGGGGTTTGTTTTGCCATAGCCGGAAAAATATGATTGCATTATATATACATATATATATATCAATATAGATGATAGGTAGATCATATACATATATATATATATGTTTTGAATTAAGAAATGCAAACATTCCCAAACATATGCCCATTATTGGGTTATCCCAGAACTAACTATTATTGATGATTGATATCACAACAATACTGGTGGGGTATGATCAATATCACATCAAGGCTGCAGTGAATGGAATCAATGGCCATTTCAGGTACCTAAAAATTAACTAAATCTTAAAGCAACCATTTTTGGGAGGGGGGAGGATTTCTCCCCACTTTCTGTGGTTCTGTCTATGCTCTATGCTACAGTAGCTCCATGTCGGTCCAAGGCAATGCCCTCCTCTTGAAGGTGAACCAGTGCCTTCGGCTTGGCGGTGATGAAGGATTCCCAAGGGGAAAGAAACGTTTGGAACTAACAGATATTCCATGTGATTATATCCCCTTGAAAATTCATTGAAAATTGCTATCCAATATCAATCCATATATATATATACATAATATAATATATATATATGTATATATATATATATGTGTATATCTATATGGATGACTTACGACATGTGAATGGTGTATGATTCCAATGCCCACAATCCCCAGCACCCATAGCACCAATCCATCACTATGAATCATAGAGGCGCTACCTGCAAGGCAAAATCCCCAGGCCTTCATTGCAAACATTCAAGGTGAGAACTTGACCATAGAACCCATCATCCACTTTATAGACTCTCTCTCTCTATATATATATATATATATATATACATACATACATATACTCACTAAATGTTATTATCATCTCTCATAATGAACAGTTGAAGTCAACTCATGTGCTGATGTCATGTTCCGAACAAAACGTCCGGTCCCGGGTGTTTCTCTGAATCGGGGATCCCTCAAACAATGGGATCCCTGAAGTCATTTTGGTGGCTTGAGATCCCTTCCTCAAATGGTTCTTTGGATGTCATACTCCCAATCCTACATGCTCCATGTGAATATCTATCAACATTTATTCCACATTCCACATATCATATGATCCACATGCACCTAAGTATACTAAGTATATCATACATGCAGCAGATGGGAATGGTTGGGTGATCCTTTCAAATCGCAATGGGCTTGATATTTTCATCTGGGGATTCAACGAAAAAGAGCCGTTTTTGACCACGTCCCACGTCCGAATCCTATACCAATCCCACTTGTGGGTTATACCGGTGAAAAACCTCCAGTGATATATGGAATGTCCCCATGAGATATGAAATATTACGAAATGAGATGGCTTCGACTTGGATTCTCCACCCCCCGTTGTTGTGGCTTCCTCAAGTGGGGAACGGGCTTCGCTGTGGCCCCCGAGGATCGGCACCATCACCGAGTCCATCGACGCGGTGAAGCTCTGCAAGAGCAACGGCTGGGGCGTGATGTGCTCCCACCGCTCCGGCGAAACCGAGGACCGGGTCTGATGGACGGAGGGGACGACGGGGACGACGGCCTTCATGAGCCAAGAGAGATGGTGATTGTTCAGATTAGCCAGGAGACTTATGGGGACTTACCTGGCTGAAATATAGTTGTGATGTTGACCCATGATTCCCCGCCAGAAATTGGTATAAACCATCCCCAAAAGGGTTGTTGATGCTTGGATTTGCCACAGTATCTCTGTGCGAACGAACATCCCCGCTTCAAGGTCCTGGAACCACAGCTTTCCTGTCCCTAACTCTATAGCTCGACACAACAGGAGTCTGTGGTTGGTGGTTTCAAACATTTTATATGTTCCATAATATATGGGATAATCCTTCCCATTGACTAATATTTCTCAAGATGGTTAAAACCACCAACTAGGTATAATTGTTAAGTTATTGATCAATAATCGTTGGTGACATTTTTCCTATACTCCTTCACGGACATATTCTCCATTTCCCAATCTTCACAATATGCCCATGAATTCGAATCTTTTCTGAGAAGGTATGGCTTGCCTCCAAAATCATCAGAAAACACTCCCCAACAACTGCCTCTAGGTTTCGACATCGTTTTGTATGTTTACAGGAGGTAAACAGCAATCATGGGATAATTCTGGGAGATCCTGATTGACATAATGGGCTATGTCACCAATTTAACCAATTTAAATGGGTTGATGGTTATCTCAAAGTTTTTATCTCTAACATATTCTAACATGATGAAATAAACCGACCGGGATAAAATCTTAAATTTGGCTTTATTCGATGGAGATGGGTGATTATAACATCCCCCTATGACTCTGGACCCCATGGGGTTTGCCACAATCTGCAGGGCAACCATGAATGTAGATCCTTTTCCAAGCAGTTTTTTTCCACGGGTTTTCCACCTCTATGTGACTTTTCTGAACCCATTTACAGACGATGTTCTCCAGCCTATAAACCTTCATTTATAGGGGACTTCCCCAGTTTTTATTAGTTCTATGGATTCTTTCCCAGAGCCTGGATTGTTTTTCCATGGATTTCCCTAGTTTTTATTGCTTAACATGGGATAGTTTCAGGCCTGGAGTGCGCCCCCAGCTGGTGAGGACACGACGATCGCCGACTTGGCCGTGGGCCTTTGCACCGGTCAGATCAAGACGGGCGCGCCCTGCCGATCCGATCGCAACGTCCCTTGAGCGCACATGGAGGTGCTCCAAACATGGTGGGATTTTTGGAGATACATTCTGGATATACATATGGCTGGTGGTTTGGAACATGTTTTTTCAATATATTGGGAATGTCATAATCCCAACTGACGAGCTCCATCATTTTTCAGAGGGGTTGAAAGTTGAAATCACCAACCAGATGGATAAACGTTAAGGTCTGATACATGTATATCCACAAAATATATCAAAATATTGTGGATATATGTCTGTTGGATATGGTTGAGAGGTGCTCCAAACCGGCAATGTCCCATATGGCAATGGGAAATCCAGGATGGCAATAGGTCGGGGACTGTCCCATTGCCATGACATTGCCATGTGGCATGCTCATGTATGGTCAATGTCATGGGAAATACCATGGATCTACTCCAAAGATGGGAGATGTTTCCGCAACAGAAAAGAATGATTTAGATCATAGAATTGGATGATGGGAAAATTTACAAGAAAGCCCTATATTTGATGGTAAAAACCATGGTTTCCTGTAGATTTTCCCTTAAACCAATCCAGTGATTAGATGTTATCTTAAAAAGTTGGTATTTTTATCACGAAGAGTTGGGATTTCACCAAAATTTGAGCCGGGAAAGCCGCACAATGCCATGCCTGGAACCACATCCCATTGGTGGTCAAGCTGGTATGATCCCACCATATCTTACCATGTTTTGGTCTGAAAGTAGGCTACAGTACCTAAAGATTCAACGGTTTATCATGATGTTCCCATATGAAAATCCAGATATATTATTATTCATTTGTTTGAAACGATGTATTTTGGGGGTAAATCCATGTAAATCGCTCTTTTCCAGTCAAACCCAAATACATTATTATTCATTGGTTTGAAAATTAGAACACGCAAAGTCCCCAATGTTTACTACTTATTGGTTGGTTTCATTAACCAAGAAACACAGAGATATATCTACAAGCACTAGAAACATATCTATAAACCCCTGCACTACACAAGTCAAGAGAAGAAAAAACTATATTCTTATAATTTATAATATATGCCGAATGTATATATATATATATATGTCCGCAAAATACACACCAAAAAACTAATATATAATATATGACAAAACAAGCTATATAGACATCTACGTCTAGATCGTCCCCCAAAGTCTCAAGCCAGTCCCCCCAATGTCCAAACAAGCCGGCCCCGGAGACGTTGACGTCGTCGTTGACGTCGTCGTTGACGTCCGAGGCCAAGTACAATCAGCTGATGCGAATCGAGGAGGAGCTCGGCTCGGCCTGTGCCTATGCCGGTGAGACCTGGCGCAAGCCTACATGGATGGCCTAGGTGCCGGGGGGAAACCAACGTGGTTGGTGTGCCAGAAATGGGGGAGATGACCAGGGAAGATGTGTTTGTTTTTGGGGTTGAATTGAAGTTCACAGACTTATAAATTTAACATATATTTAACATATAACCAAGATACGTGAAAAGAAATGTTGGGATGTCACATGATTTGAGATCTTATTAGCCAAAATGGGAAAAAATCGACATGTTGGGATGAACCCCGGGTTAGTTGAACTGGACTTAACGAAATTCACCATCAAAATTGGGATTTTACTAAGAAGACTTGGGATTTTGCTGATTGTTTTGTTGGTTTAACGAAACATCAGCGGAAACCACTGTCTTTTCCCAGCAATCATAGAGATGTGCGGTCTCAATCTCGCTTTTCGAAATAGGGATTTCCTGTCAATGTTCAAATCTATAGGAGAGCAAGTTTTGCTCAAGAACGCGATCAACTACACCAACTCACCAACTAGAGAAACTAGTGGTCATTGTGGTACTTCGGTTTGATCCAAAGATGGGGAGGTTTGAAATGTGGCGCTTGGTGCTGTTGCTGGGTAGAAAAATTGTAGCCCGAAATGTCAAGGGTCAATATTCATCGTCCATAAATTCTAGAGATGAAATGGGTGTCTTTGTTGTGTTTCGATTTTCATCAAGGTACCTGAGTTTTGCATGATTTTTGATAGATAGAAACTTTGGAAGCCTGCAAGTTATGCGTTCTGTGAGGTAACTACCTATATATGTATTAATATCAAAATTATATAATATGTATATATATATATGATATGATATGTATGTATTGATGACATGGAAAAGTCTTGAAGAACGATGCAATCCATTTGGCTTTGTCTTGGAATAGTGGTACCCCCAAAATTCCGGGCCCAGATCTTGCAGGGAAGGCGTGGTGGCCTCTACCTCAACTTGGATTGTTGATCCATCAAAGTAGCCATTTGGGTGGTATATCGTATACTCACTGAGGGGGATCACACTGGGGAATGGGCAAATCCACCAACAATGGATAGGGTCACCCATGATTTTTCCGTTCATATGCGGACACCCCCCGCAAGAAACCATGTTTTGTTGCTGGGATTTGCACCTATTTGGAACATGTTTTGGGACCATGAAATGAGGATGGGAAACTTGTACTAAACTTGTTGGTTCACTTCCTGATTTCCCAAAAACATCGCCGTCCCGCCCTTGAGGTCATCAACTGAGAGGGACTTTTCAAACAGAAATTCGTTCAGACGGAGGGCAGACAGTCAGACTGCGCAGGGTAACTAGAAAGTGCCATGAAAGTGTCAAAGAAACCAACAAAACTTTGGGATCTCATCGAAAGTTCTATGATTCAGTGAACAACATGGGCTTTTGAAACCACAATGAGTGGCCATTTGAGCCAACACGGGGATCGAACCAAGAGAATGGGATTTGTGAACCCCTCCGCCATGGGTACCAATCAACCTAGAAAGAAATGTTGGCACACTATGATTTATTTTTGAATCATGAACGCAATATGGGGACATGTTTATATCAAAATCGTTTTCTACAAAAACAACCTTCGGAGATTTTGGTCAGAAAAACATGGTGGATCTTGCTGGACATTGCCTCAGTTTTGCAATGGACATCCTCTGGTTCATTGGACATGATGTATATGTTGATGTAAGCAGAACTGGCTAAGTGCCTTTGAGTTACCGGGGGATATGCCCCAATAATATGCCAGATTTTTGAGGGGCTCTAAACCACTTGCCAAGCACGAATCACAAATTCTGCCAACATCTAAGTAGGAATTGTGAAGATGATATTCTCAGTGGCTCAACTTGGTATTTCCCAAAAATGAGCGGTACCCATTTGCCCGTGTTTGTAATACAAGAATATATCGGTCGAAATGTTGGATGATGTGGGGATACCCCGATTTCTGGAAACACCCAATGGTGCAGACAAAGAGCTCGTTGCAGATTCAACTCAAAGCATAGCGCAGTGCTGCTCCGTCCGTGAACTTGTGACTGGGGAGTGCTCCTTTTGGCCGCTTAGGGTTCGCGTAGCACGTGCCAGTCACAACTAGTTTTACCATTTTACCACAGAATAGGACAGAAGAGAAAGATGCAACTTGTTGTTTTGAGGCTGATCCTGCGGACATAATGGTATAATGATATAGCTGATATTGCATAGGTACATAATACATAAAATCATGTTCATGTATATACGCAGTAAAGAAGAACTCTTCCAATCACAAACTTTTCATATGAGTCTGGCATTTGGATAGGTGTGCTTATTGGGGCTTCGTTCAAAGATGATCCAACTGATGGCCATCTTGAAAGGATTGAAGGCTGCCCTTATTGGGGGTCAGGTCTATTAAGGTAATCTCCATGTTCTTGATGGGTTGTTGTATGTTACTGTTATACTATGTTATACTATTATATCAAGTTTTATCAGTTATAACATATGTATACTATGTTATATTATGCTACTGTTACATCATTGCATCTCCAAGTTTTTTGGTGTTCCAAGTCCATCCCAGTTTTATTGGTTCTCCCGTCATCCCCAGTTTTGTTCTGCAAAATCCTCATGGCTAAAAACTCTGATTTCTGGTTAGATCTAAGTCTTGCTGCTAAAGAAACAAAGAAGAATTGGTTGTTTATGTTATTGAATACCATTGAGATTGATCTCAGAGTCCGAAACTGAACTGTGGATAAAGAAATCATAACAAATCAGCTTATAGGGAATGGTTGAAGGATCTCGAAGCCCAGAATAACATATGGGGGTTTCCTAAAATAGGGGTACCCCTAAATCATCCATTTTAATATGATGTTCCATTATAAACCATCCAGCTATTGGGTATCTCCATTTATGGAAACCTCCATACATATATATGTATATATAGATAGACAGATAGATAGATAGATAGAGATAGAGATAGAGATAGAGATATACAATAGACATAGATATAGATATAACTATAAACCATCATCCCCCATTCCCTACCTCCGCAGCTCTTCCACCGAGAGGCAATTCTTGGATCGTCGGCTGGTCGAGAAGAAGCCGCTCCCAGCCACCCTTCCAGATGGAGGAGATCCGTCAGAGGCTGCTCAATCCTGGTTGATGAGTTACCCTCTGGTAAACTAACATAGCTATCAAAATCACCATTTTTTAGTAGGGAAATCAACTATAAATGGCCATGTTCAATCGCTATGTTAAATTACCAGAGGGTATTTGATGGGAATTTTAAGATGATGCTTACGGGTATATAACGATAAAACTGAGAAATGATGATTGGTTGATGATTATGATGCTCCGGAATTCTAATCTTTATATATTCAGGAATATATGGGAATCAATTTTCACGGGGAATCCTATTCTCAACCAACCAGCACAATGAAAAGGGGACGCTGAGCACATTTTCTCAGACAATACTTAATAGAATGGGGCTGCAACAAATATTGTATAGGGGCATGGGATCGTAAAAAGAAGGGGGCCTCGGATAAACCACGGTCGCTCTTTGTTTTTTTTTGTGTGTGTGAATTGTTTCTTTCCAATGTTGAATGTTTTGCTGTTGTGTTTGGTGCGTCTTCGTTTTTTGGGGCAAGCTGGAAATATCTGGAAAATGCGGAAGGTTTGTCATTGTGGTCAGTTTGGTATGTGATGTTCTGGAGATGTTTCCACTTGGTCTAGCATCTAGCTAGAGTGAGGGTATTTCCACACGTGCATCCGTGAGTGCTTTGTTCTAATCACTCCATACCGATCAAAATTGAGTATAGACAATGATGACAATGCATGTCAATTATATACAATAGAACGTATGAAAATCATGTATGATTATTACCCATTAAATCCAAAATGCTATGTGTTCTTTTCAAAAAAATGTATATTCCATTGGATCGGTTCAAGGGAAAGTGTACAGGAACCCCAGTCAGTTTCATGGGGAAAACCATGGAAAAACCACTTCAGAGTTTCTCTTCAATCAGTCATTGAAAACATCCACAGTCATTGAAAAATATCCAAAATTCTCCATAATCCATAATCTAAGCATAATCCATAATCCTATAGATATAAGATTATCCATAATCCATAATCCTATAAAATAATCCACATTGATCATCCATAATGATCATCCATAATGCAGATCCAAAATACTGCCCTGTCACAGCCCAAAAGTTTTTTTGCGAGGTCAACATCTTCGTCATTGGGGTGCCTGGGCAAAGTCCTGGCTCGTAGTGAGTTATGCTCAAACGTGGCAATAGGAAATCCCCTATGAATGGATGTGTTTTACGGGGAAGATCATCCATAAATGGTGGATTTTCCAGCGACGGATACCGGAGGGTAATCATGAAATTCCGGAAGTGGTGGATACTTAGTTTCTCACTCCTTGAACTTCGTGAATGGTTCCTCATAATTTGTGAGTTCTCAGGTGTTCCCTCATGGTTCAGCAGATTGGCATAGGCATTGTCATTGCCACCGTACCTCAACAGGATTATTGTGTTCATGGCATGTAATGTTTAAAGTATCCTGTATGCATATATATATATAATAATTATATTAAATATTATACATATTGCCGTCGGATCATGAGACGTTATATACTATAAATACTGATGAGATTATGCATATCATAGGATATAATATAATCCAGTAACAATGCCATCATCATGATGGGATTCAAGACCAAGGACTGGGGCACCTACCCAGGCACGAGATGCCGGGCTTGAAACGAGCTTAAAAACGAGCCAGACCCGGCACGGTAGCCATGGTATTTGTGGTATGTTCTTCCCATGGTTGATATTCCAACATCTTTCAACAAAATATTGGGATCATATTGGCACTTTCCCGTTTTCAAACAGAATTAACAGAGTTTTATCATGGTTTTACTCTGTTTTACTCCACAAAAGGAGTTTCTTTGACCCCAATTGCTATGGAAACGGTGCAGGAACTGGCATCAACATGGGAAGCGCTTGGACCACGGCGAAGCTTGGTGGGACAAAATGTCCAGTTCTGAAATTTCCAGATTTCTTTGATGTTGTTTGAGTAATCCATGTTTTTTCGCCCAGAAAACATGATCTACAAATGGATACTTAAATGTTTATGTTTTTCAGAAAACAAAGTCTACAATGTGAGGCCCCCAAGATAGCTAAGTTGGTTTATAACTCCAATAACTATGGTTTATGGTACTTATAACTATAGTTACTGGGGCGAATCTAAACCAACTTATAACTGGGGGGCCTCACATTGTAGAAATGGTGGGGGGTTCCCCCATGGCTGGACAGATCTTGGTGAGTTGGGTGCAAGACCTGTGACCTGTGACAAAGCGCCAAGGATGTGGAACTCCAATTGCTTCCAGGGTTCATCATCCCCAGAGGCTGGGCGGTCCTGATCCCCAAGGGAAACCCCATTGGCTTCCCTAATCTGCAACGACACCATGCTGGTTGGTGGTGACTGGAACATGGCTGGAGATTTTTTTCCAGAAACCGTTGGGAATGGAATTGGAATGTCATCATCCCAAGTGACTTTCACTCCATCATTTTTCAGAGGGGTAGGGCTCAACCACCAACCAGTTGTTTACTGGAGGGCATTGTTTGTTAGGTTACTGGAGGGCATTGTTTGTGTTGTTTGTGCGTGGCACAATCCTTTTTTGAGGGGGGTGAGACATAAGACATGGGGGTTGGTCGTCAAAGACATCCAAAAATTCGGGCAGCTGTTTCCCCGTGTGGACTGGCTTATGTCGTTCACTTTGTGGATGAGAAATGAGAACTTCCACAGTTCCCAGGGTCTAATGATCCACATGCAGTTTATCTCATGTACCATGGCTGGGATGAAGATCCCTTGACCAACGATTTTTCGTGTGAAAGAGGGTGCTGAATTTCTTGTGCATCCAACTGAGCCCTCTTACTGTATGGTGCTGGGTGTTTTTCATGTCCGCATTTCGGCGGACTGATCATTCCAAATTCTCGGATAGCGTTCCTGACCCAGGTAGAAGCATTGTTTGAGGTCTAGATTTACCAATTTTGGCAGAGGTTGACAATAGAAAACTCATCCTTATTAGTTACTTGGGTATGTCTAAAAGTAGGCTACCGAAGAAATTGGATGCTTCAGAATTTATTTATTACCCATGGATTTTAAATGTATACCCATCTAAACATACTTTTTTAAGATGAGGATATGGCAATCCAATCTAAGGTTTTGGAACAAGTTGAACTTAAGTTGAACAAGTTGAACTTAAGTTGAACATGATCTACTCCCCATTTGGGCTTTTCACAACCTTTACAGGAACATAGAGGAACCGTATCTCCCCATCAAATCATCAAACTTCGACCTTTCTGAGGCCTGGAAGAAAGCGAAGGCCGAGAAGTTGATCTCCGCCTCGGAGGTGACGTGACTGGATGAGAACTGGGTATCCTGTGACGAAATTAGGACACAGCTATGAACAGTTAAGTATAGGAAACCATTTGGATGTGTGATTTATGAATATATATATATAGATATATATATAATATAATATATATATATAATTCATATATATATATAATTATATATATATAGTTGTGATTTAATTAGGAGAACCTCCAAGATTGGATTTCAAATGGTAGACACGTCACGACATGAACACTGCACAAAGGGGGAGAATCCGAAACCTGACGCCTGACTGTCGTCTGGATTCGTCTGGAGGTGGTGAAGAGTTGGGGTGCAGGGTATCCCATCTGCGGCTCGATGCATCTGGAATGCAGCTGGGGCAAAGGAGGCGCGACACTGGCCTATTCCCAACTGGTGGTTAACAGTTATGAACGAAGGAGGGAGTTTTGAACCTACCTGGTTGGGTAATTTCATGATACAATAGCCGATAGCCTTTAGATCATTAATAATGAGTGGGGATAGCGTCTAGCACCAACCAGGTTGGACCGATAATGTTTGGGATTGAACCAATCAACGGAAATGGCACCACATACCCCACTGGCCGAGCCACATGATGATCGAAAGGTAGAACTTGGGCTTTCCCATGAATTTTCTTAACCAAAATCCAGCTTGGAATTGGATTATGAACTGACAACATCTGACAACATCTGACAACATCTGACAACATCTGACAACATCTGACAACATCTGACATCCTCACCCCCTTAGCCTGGGTTTTTGGTGTGGGGGGCAGAAAAATTGTAACTCACAATTGTAACATCTTTTCATGGCACCTAAAAATTGTAATAATATATTGTTCACGTCAAATTCGATTATTGTAATATTACATTTTTCACCCCCCTACCATCAAAAAAAGTAATATTACCATCTGGTTATTTAACAGAGCCATGGAAAATCCTCTATAAATGGGCCATTTTCCATGGCTATGTTAGTCATAACCAGATGGTAATATTACAATTTTTCTGTCCCCCCCTGGTCTTTTTGGGGTGGGGATCATCTGACAACATCTGTGGTTTTTGGACCTGGTTGTTGTGGCGGAACCTCAGTTTGGCATAGAATGCCATAGCAGCTAAGGGGCCATATTTTTTTTCACATTGAAAATCAAGGACGTCAAATTGATAAATTGTGACTTCCTCACACATGAGTTTTTGGATGATCTTTGATGTACATCCCACTAAGTTGATTTAGGCCCAGTGATGAAAGATACAAAATGGAGGTTTACCCGATTTCCCCCAGAGGTTAGGTCAGATTCAAACGGCTTGGGATTCCTGGTACTTCCTCCACGTTTCGCTTTCACCATCTTTCACCCTTCCAGGCGTCTCGAACAGTGATCGATGCAACCCGGAGCCCGTGGGGGTTGTCATCCCTGGATTCATAAATCCGGCTGTGGCTGTTTAAGTGGGGGGGTAGCATGTAAGTACCACTAAGTATCATACCACTAGTTCGGGGGTAACCCATTTAGTCAATGAACTTGACACCATGCTGGTTGGTGGTTTGGAACATTTGCATTGGATAATGTTTCCATAAAATATGGGAAAATGTCATCATCCCAAGTGACGAGCTCCATCATTCTTCAGAGGGGTAGGGCTCAACCACCAACCAGCCAGGATTGACACATCTCCGGCATCTAGACCATCTGGACCCTTCCCATCCACCTTTGACCCTTGCTTCGGGTTTGGCAATGGGATCTAGCCAAAAAAACCCTAAATCTGCCGGTGAATCATCATATGTTCAGGAATGTTCAGGTATATCAGTCATATACCCTTCGGTAATCAAACACGGTTTGCTGGAAAATAATCATTTCAAGTTGATTTTCCCACGTCCATAGCACCGAGGGATTTCCCTGGGTAGACCTTGCCATCAGAACCGTGCCACAGGACAAAGACTGGTACTGGAGAGACCACTTTGCTCAGCAAAATGTGGCCACCTCAATGACGGATTTAGCCAAAGAGCGAAAACCGATCCTTGGCCGGCGAAAACATCATATAGAGAAACGCGCTGGAATAGGGGGGAAATGAGGATGAACTGATATTAAACTGAGGATGTTCAAAAGCCCAAGTTAGTTGGGCTTCAATAGCTTTGCCCCTGGAGTGAAGTGGATGGAAATTGGGGAGTGGCCTTCCATGTCACATGGCATGCTGGATGCACTCAAGATTTGAGAGTCAGGCACCCACATGATTGAGGACTTATTTTAATCGTTCCGGAATTCCAATCTTTACTCATCCCAGATTTGTGTCCCGCCTGTACACACACATCCATACATAATTATACCTGCATGATATATATATATATATATTATATATACACCATCCGGTTATTTAACATAGCGATGGAAAATCCCTCATAAATGTAGGTTTCTCGCTGGGAAAATCATCTATAAATGGGCCATGGCTTCCATGGCTATGTTAAACAACCAGAGGCTATATATAGAAAGACATGTCTATCCTTGGAGCCTAAGTTGACCGACTCTAGACCATGACCATGACCATTAAGACCCTCCCCACTAAAGGATCAAAACCCAACGAAAATCGTTGTGTCGTGTCACTTCAAGGTAGATTAATGTAGATTGTCTTGAGTCATGTGCCGTGAATTGTTTTACTCTTCCAAGGAGTTTCGTGATCAACACCGCAGACAACTTTTACTATGCAGGCGAGGCGTCAATGTCGATTTGTTGTTGGGGGGCAGCAGGATCCTTTGTCAGACCATATGCTTGCTCAAGGACAAACTGGGCCGCTTTATAAATAAATGTATGTAATGTTTATGTATTTAAAAATTGATATATATATATATATACATATATATATATATATACATATATAATATGCAAGCATATGTTGTTATCAATATGTGTTTGGTTTCGTTGAGTCGCCGTTTTATAGGAGCCGAACTCACGCCAGGTGTGAAAAGCACTCAAGACAAGCTTTGGAGTATGATGTTTGAGGCGCACAAAATGGTCAACACCTGGGGCTCTATGGCAGAGGGTGTAGTGAGAAGTGACCAGAAGCTATTGTTGTTTTCCTTGTGTAAAGCGCATAGCATTTGATTTCAAGTTTAAATCATAAGTCATCAAACTAAATGGGCCATGGCTTCAGTTCGCATCATTATCATCGAACTAACTGGGCCATCGCTTCCAGTTACTGTGAGTCATTCTTCTAGAGGCCAAAATCCCATAGAAATCCCATAAACATCTCATAGAAATCCGATAACAAACCCATAAAAATGTGCAAAATCCCATCGAAATCCCATACAAATGGGCAACTTCTGACCCTTGGATCTTGACCCAACCCCCAGGGATCCCCAGCCAGGAGCTCTATCCAGATCAAAGCCTGCAGATCCCGTGGTTAAGCTCCCTAGGCATTTTCTGGGGGGGTAGGGTAGTAGGAATATAGATATACAAATATAAACATACTTCCAGCTTGCGTTTTTGGTTCAGAAGACTGGCTGAATCCCCATTCATCATCTGATCACCTGGGATGTTTGAAGGATGAATGAATCAATATGTGTGTATATATATGTATATATATATACATACATGTTATACATATACATACATCTATATATAAATGTCCCCATACGTTTTGATCACAACTTGCAACAGATTCTCGATACCAATGGTTAATGTTAATCTCAATTGCTACAAATATGATGAAATATCTATATCAACTTTACAGTCAGTCCTGCCGAAGGGTTTGTTTCAAACATATACCTGAACTAGGTTGTTGAAATACTGAGAAGTGGAAGCTGAGGTTTAGTGATTTTGAAGACAAAACATTCCATTTTGTGATTGGCAGCTACAACAAGTTCTTCAATTCTCAACCCGAGTGAAATGGGATGATGTTCCCGAGTGATCATCAATCCTTCCGGGCGATTGATCGCCACCGAAAACAGCAGCTTTGGGACCCGGTAAACGTTTACATTAATATATAGCTGTAGAAAATCACCACTTTTAGAGGGTAAATCAACTTTTTCTATGGCCATTTTCAATAGCTATGATATTAGATTACCAGAGGGTACATTTAAAAAAAATTGTTGCGACCTTTCTTAGCTGCGAAGTCGTCACTCGGCTCAGGGAATCACGACTATGGTGGTCATACCTGTGACGTGTGCCACCGGCGAGATTCGTTTGTTGGTTGCTCCAAGGATTGCGGTGTGGCGCTTCGACAAAATGAAGAGTCATGTTATGGTGGATATATATACATATAATATATATTATTATTATTATATCATCTTGTATTATATTATATTATATTATGTTATATTATATTATATTATATTATATTGCATTAAATTATAGTATATTATACTATATTGTATTACAGTGTATTATATCATATTATATTATATTATATTTCATTATATTCTATTATATTATGTTATATTATAGTAGATTATATTGTATTATATTGTATTATATTATACTATATTATGTTACAGTATATTATATTATATTGCATTATATTATATTATATTATATTATATTATGTTATATTATATTATATTATATTGCAATAAATTATAGTATATTATACTATATTTTATTATGGTGTATTATATCATATTATATTATATTATATTATATTTCATTATATTCTATTATATTATGTTATATTATATTATATTGTATTATATTGTATTATATTATATTATAGTATAGTATATTGTGTTTTATTATATTGTATTATATTCTATTTTACTATTTTGTAATATATCATATTATAATATAATACATATATATGTCTTTTCTCTTGAGGATGATATTATATTTTGATATTAGTCCTTACTATCCAGTTCCCTCCTGGGTCGTCTCCAAGGTGAACCTTTCCTCGCCAGGTGTCTTTTCAAAGCGTCCGGCCAAGAAACACGCAGAGACAAGCCATGTTCGCAGGCGGCGGTTGACGCAAGGTTTTGAGGAGCACTTTGGAAAAGTAAACCTCTCGAGGATATGATTCTACTTGTAAAAAGTAAACGTACTTGTTCAGTAAACCTCTTAAGGATACGATAGCCATGTTTGTAGCCTGGTGCTGGGTCCATTTTAGATGTTTTTGCCTTTCAGTTGGCTGATGAGTGATGTTCCAGAAACTTCCGACTTGAAGCTACACTATATTTTGGTTCTGGGGTAGTGAAGAACTTAGTCTATATTGTGTATGGGACAAATTGGGTACCTCAATGATTGGATGGCTCATGCCAAACATGACTTCAAGCATAGTGGTCCCCCAAGTCCTTTATGTTGACCCATACCCATATGGGGGTTTCTTTCCTAAAAAAGGGGTATCCCAAATCATCCACTTATAGATGGATTTTCCATTATAAGTAATCCATTTTGGGGTACCCAGCCATTAGGAAACCCCTTTTTTTGCATCCTACACAAAAAATGAAGGAAAGCCGTCACAACACCCGTTTCGCACGAGGCCATGATCGACTACGACACGGAGCATGACTGGCAGTGGCCGAAGAACAAAGAAGTGCGCTGGGTGCTGCCCATGAAGGGTTCCTTGGTCTGGAGGCTTTTGGCCAAGAGCGGCTATTCAACCCATATACACGCAATAGATTCATATTTACATAAAACAAAAAAAACATGTTCATATAAAGGTGTATGTATATATATATGTTTGTATATGTATGTAAATATATATATATATGCCAATTTGTAAGTAGATGGGTTAGATGGGTTAGGATGGGTTTGAGTAGCAACCCTGATGCTCTGCTTTGAGTTTTTGCTTCATTCGTGCCGCATCGTCAAGTGTTGCCCTTTTTTTAGAATCTAAAATGGATCAATATTTAGACCAGCGCGCTATTCCAATTTTGGCCATAGGCATCACTCAACAATCACTATTTTAGTGGGTTTTGTTTTACTTGTATCTGTTTGGGGGTTACTATAAGTTAACAATGGTTGATCACAGTCAAGGTTCCTTCCCTTTCTTCTGACAGCTTGTCACAATATGTCACAATATGTCACAGGAGGTACCGGTGGAATGATCAGATTCACGAGAGAACAGGCTGATTTTTCTTTACATTATATGTACACAATGTGCATACAGCATGGCGACTGTTCTCTTTGCCATTTACTCAAGTGCATTCCCATGGCAATTTTTTATGGCTGAAACATGCGCAAATGATGATTCACCACAGGGCTTTTGGGCTGTGTAGTAGCCTATGTTGGGACAATCCCAGACGCAGCACATCTGGAAATCACGGACACGCTGTGACCTGTGAGGCAACGATCGATGGTACATGAAGTCCTTCGTCTTTAAGAAGGCCAGCGATGCCGCAGCTCAGCCATTGAAAAATCATGGATTCCTATTGCGACGGATGACATCTCAACAAAAAGCTCTAAAAAGAAGAACAAACATATGATAGATCACTATCCCATAGGATCCATGTATGGTATATATGCTAACATTTGGGGTATATTGATGGTAAATGTTACCATGTATAGCATACATGGATCCTATGGGTATAGGATACTATAGGTACCCTCTAGTTCTAGCCTTTCTAGCGATCCTTGCACGCCACTAAGCGCTCATCATCGGTTTGGGTCCTATGGGTGGCACCTCATACATCCTCATACTACCCGTTTACAGCGACATCCTTACTGTAAGTATCTTGACCCACAAGATAAAGACTGGTCATCATACTGATATACTGCAAGGGGAAAACTACACTAGTCATCCCGAAAGATCGCTCAAAATTTGACACTAAAAAAAGTGTCCCGTTCTTTCGCCGGATTAGTGTGTCTTTTTGGCCTGATTGCTCAAGTTTCTGAGGCACCTCGTCACTATGGTGATTTCACAAGGTCCCAGAGCATGGTCAACCCAAGAGCTGGGAGCTTTCCGACTAGCCCCCAAAAAATCAGATAAACCTTCAATTCTAGCGTAAAAAATGAAGAAAAGACACATGAAAAAACAAAAACCCGGTCTCAAAGTCATTCAAAGTCCACATCCCATGCATTTCCAGCATTTTCACGGCCACCCGGCCACTCCTAAAAACGACACTTATCGGTTAGGCCAACGTGTCGCTGGATGTCTTTGTGATCGATACCAACAAGGCGCACATCAGCTCACAATGCAGTTCCTCATGCCCTGCCCGCCAAGCCACTTGGCGCCAGATGGGAAATTCATGGGAAATTCACATGGAACTTGGGATTGTCACTTGAAAAGTGAGGTCCCACAAAATCAATCAAAATCATCCCATGTTCCACTTATCACATGATGAATTTGATCAATGCATATGTTCATTGAATCGCCGGAAAACGGGCCACTTTGCGGTTGGAGTATCCTTAATCAACTGGTGAATGGTTGATTTTCGTCGCTGCAAATGATTGGTTACTCCTTGGAGTAAAGCAACGTGGCAATGGAATGCACTGAACGTGAGAATTTCCTGTGATTACTCGAATGTTGTTGGTCAATATATCTACATTGGTTTTGGTGAAATGGGTGATGTCGATTTTGTTGCAGCTAGGGGCCACAAAGTCCACAAATTTAATCAAAGTTAAACATAATATATAGATTGTTCTGCTAGTACGCATGGTATATGTAGGTGTGCAGTAATCCACTCTTGGTATATGTACACAATCCACGGATTATAAATAGACATGTTTTTTAATGGATCAATTATGTTTATGTAATATTATGTGATGAATACACATGATGCATGCATAACAAAACATAATAATACATACTAGAGCTATCATATAATTTGTGTTACAATTGTATGCATAGATCAATGACTTTTTTTGTAATCACGGTGTGTCTGAGAATGCTGAAAAAGAGGAAACTGACAATCAACCACAAGATCTTCTGGGGTACTTCAGAAGGTCCCCCAGGTATAAGTTGGTTTATAATCCACATGAACATATGGTAGATATATCTATAATTACTGGAAAATGACCAGATGTTATACTTATAAGTTCCAAGTTATATTATTAGAGTGATAAACCCGTTCCTAAACTAACATAGCTATGGAAAATCACTATGCTTGATAGCTAAATCAAAGAAGTAAATTGGGATTTTCCATAGCAAACTGTGAGTTTATGAGTTTACTCAGGTTTTTTCACAACAGTTAACCATCAGTTTGTTCAAGCAACTTCACCAACACCCTGGGGGCCCTGGGGCATCACCATGTAGCTTCAGCCTTTTTCGTTTCTCCCGAGGACTGCATCAAGTTTTTCATGCAACTCTGGGAGAGGCAAAAAGCTTGGCTCCTACCAGCCTTAGAGCCTCTCGGACGAAGGTCACAGAAGCTTTGTTTGTCCTACCTGTAGATCTAATGTTGGTTCCTGATTAGTGTGTGCCCCCCCCCCTCCCCCCAAACAATATTTGGACTCTCTTTAAGGTGGAAAGTCAAACATTTTCTTCCCAAGAGAAAAGCAAATCCTCACTTAAGTAAGGATTTCAATTGGCTACAATTGAAATCTAATTAAAACTGTGATTTCCCGATGAACTTGTGGTACTTGTAGTACTGGTAGTACCTGTAGTACTTGTAGTACTTGTAGTACGTGTAGTACTTGTAGTACTTGTAGTATTTGTAGTACCTGTAGTACTGTACTTGTAGTACTTGTAGTACCTGTAGTACTTGTAGTACCTGTAGTACTTGCAGTACTTGTAGTACTGGTAGCACTTGTAGTACTTGTAGTACTTGCAGTTGTAGTACCTGTAGTACTTGTTGTACTTGTAGTACCTGTAGTACTTGTAGTACTTGTAGTACTTGTAGTACCTGTAGTACCTGTAGTACTTGTAGTACTTGTAGTACCTGTAGTACTTTTTTACTTGTAGTACCCACAGCTTGCACAGCTTGCTACAATAGTGAACCCAGCAAACAAACCTACTAAAGTGAAATGGAGCCTCTCCGGGTCCAGGGCCTTGGAAAATTGTGGGAAAGCTGTTCTTTAATAAGGGTTTAGTAAGGGATTTGCTCCTTTGGGAAAGGCCTGGAGTTTGAATTTGGCAATTGCTTTTGGAAAAGGCTTGCTTCTCTTTTGGGCTTCCAGGAGCTGCTCTGGCACAGCTTGCTGCAATAGTGAGCCCAGCAAACAAACCTACTAAAGTGAAATGGAGCCTCTCCGGGTCCAGGGCCTTGGAAAATTGTGGAAAAGCTGTTCTTTAATAAGGGTTTAATAAGGGATTTGCTCCTTTGGGAAAGGCTTGGAGTTTGAATTTGGCAATTGCTTTTGGAAAAAAAGTCTTCCTCTCAGCAATTACAGGTTGTTTTTTCCAAAAAAGAAACTCTCCCATTTTTTTTGCCACAAAAGTGAACCCTCCAAACAATACATGGGTTTCAGAATAATTTGGAGAAAATTTGCCACAATAGCGAACCTAGCTACTAATCAGGAGCCAACATTATGGGGTACTATTGGGTACTATTGGGTACAAGGTGGTGCCCCAGTTCGTTAGCTAAGTTGGTTTAGTTCACTAATATTAGTGGGTTTCCTTAAATGGGGATATCCCAAGCCACCATGGGTTTCAATACCAAAATCGTCTAATGACTTGGATGATTGGGGGTAGCCCTATTTTAGGAAACCCCCATATGTCGCGCTTGTGCCTGTGCTCAGGCAGTCCAAAGCTGACTGGAAATTTGTGGTGGGTCATGCACCACCAGAAAATTTTGAGGACTCCGTTGCGCCTATATCTTCCGTACTTGGGGTCATTGGTAATTGTTGATTAATTAATTTGGTAATTTACCCAGATGATATGTCATGATGGTCAATTGGTGACAGCAAAATGTTGAATTTCTGGGACTTAGATGTGGTTCCTGTTTCGCATTTGCGAAACAGGACAAGTGTTCCCGTGGGAAGTGCTGCTAATTCTTGGTCATTGTTTAAAGTTTGATGGGATTTAATGGGACTTCTTCGGATTTCATGGGACTCTGCAGGAATCGCTCATGGAGCAGATGCGCGATCGGGGCGTATCGGTCTACATGGCAGGCGCTTTTCGGTCAACTGCATTGCACCATTTGTAGGCAAAAACAAACAGTGAAAACGAGGTTTGCACTTGTGTTCACCACATGACATGGGTAAACCCACCACTCAACCTCTACTTTCCGATGTTTAATACATGTTAATACTTCTACCACTTATACCAACTATTTCTGCTGAATTTCGGGAGAGGTTCTTATGAATCCTTCTCCTTAATATTGAACGCCCCCTTATCATGATTTGCGGATGGGATTTTCATGGATTTTCAGACTTATCATGATTTATTCAAAAATTATCCCAGAGTATCTTCATTTATAGTTGAATAAATCATGATAAATCATTGATACAATCATTTATAGTTGATGTTCCCATTGTATCCAATTGTACCCCTTGAAGATGATTTACAAAAAACGCCTTCAGCCTTCACCAACAGATGTTTCTCAGGACATGTGCACCAGCTGCGGCACGACCAGTGTCCCTCGGGCATCGAGGCTGGGGATTTCACGACCAGTGCTGCCCCGGCTAAGTTGGCTAAGTTGGTTTATAAGTCCAATAACTATGGGTCATTGACCATGGATAAGTCCAATAACCATGGATAAGTTGGCTAAGTTTTTAATGACCCATGATAACTATGGCTATGTTTTTTTGTTGGTGATATATCGAACTAATTATATAATAAGGTAATGGGATTACAACCCGTTTCATTAAATTTATAAGTGGGGGGGCACCACCTTGTATGGTTGTGGATCAATACCTATAAATAGCATGTTTGGGATGAACATCCATAAATCACAGTTGTGCTTTTCCATGAAACGATAGTTCTACAACTGGTGAAGCTATATGATGCTATATGGTCATACAATGGTTTCATGAAATTTGCTGGTGTTATTCCTGGAATGTAGGGAGAATTATCTAGAAAAGGGAGATATCATCAATGGGAATTTCAGGATCCTAAATTGGAGGTACCTACCATATGTAAGGTCTTATATGGTACAGTACCCCCATTTTAGCATCCTGAAATTCCCAGACATCATGGGAAAATAGAAAGGGTTAAATCATGATGAAGTGATGATCATCCCATCCCCCCATCCATATTCTCCCCTACATCCACCATGGTTTCTGGTGAAACTCTAAGGGGAAATACCCAATATAATATATATGTGAAATGTACATGTCAGTCGGATTCTCTAACATGAACTTATGTGGACATCTGGGCACGAGCCCCCTTAGCACAGCCGACGATCAACCAAAAGGCGTGATGGATCTACCACCTGTGTACCATAGTTGAGGTGCACAGGTGGTAGCGGAGCTGCCAAAACCAAGAGCAAACGCTGTTGGATTGGGCAGAGCGACAGAGGATTGGAACGTGGACTATGTCAGGGAGCAAGGATGACACAAACGCAAGAACAAACTTAGAGACCTTCTCAGGAGAGGATGCGTCAGAATACCGTAGATGGAGACGAAAGGCAGAACTGTACTTGATGGGGCTACCCACAACGGTCCCTGAGAGCAAATGGGGAGCCAGACTAGTTGAACATCTACGGGGAGAAGCGGAAGAGTTGATGGAACATGTAGAGCTGAGTACCATCACTGATGACAAGGGTTACAAAAAGGTGTTTGAACTTCTTGACGAGCGCTACAAAGAGCTGGACAAGGACGAGCTTCAACGCTGTCTCAAGTCGTACTTCTATGCGGCGCCAATCAAGAACCAGGAGACCTATAGGAACTTTGTCATACGGATGGACACAGCCTACAGAGGGCTGACACGGCACAAAGTAGAACTACCTGAGCCAGTTAGAGGGTGGATTCTACTGAAAAAGCTTCTTTTGGACTCGACATCTGAGGCCCTGATCATGACGTCTACATCGGGGTCACTGAACTACACAGATGTCCTAGGAGCTCTCAAGGCTGTGTTTCCAAATGGCCAGGGTCCCGGAGTGAACCCAGGCAAATCAAAGGACAAGGAGATCTTCATTGCCCAGGAAGACAGTGAGACACCAAATGAGGCCACTGAACTTGAAGTACCAGGCAACGATGACTTCTTAGAGGTCATGGAAGCAGCCGCCACTCAAGCTCAAGAACAGAGTGACTATGAGTCTGAGGATGCATTGGAGGTGTTCGAGAACTACTCTAGCATTCGAAAGAAGATGCAGGAGAAGAAGACCTCTCGTGGCTTCAGACAAGTGAACACGACTGAGAAACAATGGAAGCTTGAAGGAAGCGTTCAAGGAAAGCTGTCACTCTTGAAGGCAAAGACCAGATGTCATCACTGCAGGAGAATGGGTCATTGGAAGAAGGAATGCCCGCTTCGACAAAATCAAGGCAAGAAGAGCGAAGGAGGCCAGAAGGAGGTCCACATTGTAGAGAGCTACAGTGATGACGAGGCCTTCTTTGAGAGCTATGTCCTAGACGAGGTCAAGGGCAAGGACTATGAGCAGGAGTACCACGGGTACCAGGAGACTGACACCAAGACCAAGACGGAGACACAGAAAGACCAGGGTGCCAAGAGGAACCGAGACACATGGGTCTTAGACAAGGAAATGGGTGTCTTGGAACGCATCCATCAGAAAGAAAGGAAGGGACTCTTCACACCACATGGAGTCAAAGATCTTCCTATCGCCATGGAGGAATTCTCGGGCGAACGGGAGACAATCATGATCATGATCATGATCAATGTGGCGAAAAGAGTGTCATCAAGGACAACTACCATACGACCAGAGTACCCCATCAGAAGATGGACTACAACTGGCGTGGAAAGACAAAACTCTACCTGAAGACCATGGACCAGTCCAAGAAGTCAAGTACCTCGACTAAGGTGGTGGATCCAGATGCTCAGCTGCGACTTTTTGAACATGAAGTACTGAGCGCAATTCATGAGGGGGCACAGCCAGTTTTTTCCAAGTCTGACCAGGCAGCAACCCTGGATTCTCACGCAGTTCCCGACACGGCATGTCGCCGTACGCTGATCGGTGATTATGTGCTGTCATTGCTTGAGTCTAGGTTGAATGAGAAGGGTCTCATTGTGACTAGGCGGAGAGAAGTTAATGAATTCCGTTTTGGGAACGCGGGGATTTTGAAGTCTTGTGAAGTAGCTAGCATACCGGTTACTATTGGGGAAAGACATGTGGTTGTCAATGCAGCAGTTTTGCCTGAACCAGGCAGCCGAACACCGTTTCTCTTTTCAAAAGAACTGTTGAAGAGTTTGGAATGTATTCTTGATACTACTACTGATGAGATGGTTTTCACAAGAATCAACCAGCGAGTGAAGATGGGGAAGACAGAAAGGGGCCACTACGCAATACCAATACTGCCACGAGAGTTCATCTACAAGAAGCCGTCAGCGGTTCAAGGTGAAGAGACTGCCTCGAGGAAATCTGAGGAAATCTGAGTGCCATGTATCGCACGCAGGAAGTGCCAATGACACCACTGGCACAAGAGTTGATGAACGGGCTCATCGTGGAAGACAAGATCGACATGATCCAGGAAGAGATCGATCGCTACAGCGACCACGAGGAAGACGAGCCAATGAAGCCAGTTCATGGATAGAAAGTGATGAAGGCCGGCAAGTACAAGAACACTCACAACATGGAGTATGCCTACACTCAGGACAAGAAGCATCTGAAGTGGGTGCGCTCCAACATCCAGCCACAGGGCTCAGGTCCAGAGATGAGGCGTTACGCCTCTATGTGGAGATGAGAGACCAGAAGAAGAGTCAGAGACTCTTGAGCCGAATGGAACAGCAGCGTCCAGTTGCTCCTCAACTCAAGACCCATGTGGCAGCAATGACCACCGCCAAGGCGAAGGCAAAGTCAGTAGAACCAGCGAGCTCAAGACGTCGAGAGAGAGAGAGGGAGAAGGATGGTCTCACGAGATGACAGCGATGGAGATGGACTACGACGAGTACAAGACATGGGCATTTCTGGACGAGCTAGAGAAGGAAAAGAACCAAGAGCAGCAGAATCAGATGTGGCAGGAGATCGTCACACATGTGGCAGAGCAGAACCCAGAGAAGGCACAGAAGATGATGCAGGTGTCCGAGATCATGGGCATTCACATGGCATGGAAGATGTTCAAGGCAGTCGAGGAAAAATAGAGCCACTGGAGGAAGTGAGCAGAAGTGTGATAGAAGCGGGGCTGGACAAGATTGAGCGGGAAGCTCAAAAATGTAGATGTGATGTCATGATTATTAGCCAAACCTCCCTATCACAGCATGAGGTGGCGGAGATTTTCTCTGTTTCACGAGTAAGTCAAGCAGCTGCAGCTGTGGGACTGAAGTGTGGACCGTCGTATGACTTACTTACCGGTGTTGACTTGCGCGACAAAAAAGAGCGTGACCGAGTGCGGGAGGAACTTAGGGTGAGAAAACCAAAGCTACTGGCGGTGTGTCCACCATGCGGGCCCTTTTCCCCACTCCAAAACACTGGGATACCAAGGAATGCTTGAAACAACTTTATGAAGGGAAAATCTTTCTGAGATACGCTGCACAGCTGATTCAGGACCAAATGGACAGGGGTGACATCTTTGTTTTTGAGCATCCCTTGAGAGCGAAGTCATGGAATGATGTTTGCATGCAAAGGCTCTTGAAAAATGACCAGGTGCACAGGGTTGCGGCGGACCAGTGTATGTTTGGTTTGAAAGACAGAATCAGCAAAAGACGTCATAGAAAAAGTACGGGTATCATGACTAACAGTAAACATGTGGCTCAAGAGATGGAACTGAAGTGCAGTCAAGACCATGAACATGAACCAATCATGGGACAGGTGCGGATCGGAGGACAATGGGTGCCTCGTTCAAAGCTGGCTCAAGAGTACCCCCAACAATTTGTCAAGGCTCTTTTAAGGGGTTTTCTGAGAGACATGCATGAGAGAGAACAGAGTCATGTAGTTCATTGTGTCTTGACGGTCGAAGGGTTGGACGAAAACAAACACGACGACAAACGGATTGCTGTGTTGCTGAAACGATGTCATGAAAACCTTGGACACCCTTCCACACCACGGTTCATTGGAATGCTGAAAGCTGCTAGAGCTACGGAAAAATGTATCCAAATCGCCAAGGGTCGTAGGTGCACGACATGTGAACAGTTCCAACAACAGAAATCTCACCATGTTTTCAAAGCCACCCCCATTTATCATTTCAATGATGTGGTTGCCATGGATACGTTTGAAGTTGAGCTTTCTAGGAGAAAGTTGAAAGTGTTGAACATCATTGACTTGGCCACCCATTTCCAGATGTGTGTTCCCTTATGGAAAGAAATTGAAATCAAAAGGATTAGGAAGGCATACAGGTGTTTCTGGAAACGTTGGGCGGGGCCCCCCAAAAAGGTGATTACCGATGGTGGGGGAGAGTTTGGACAAGAGTGGACGGACATGTTGTTTAGGGACGGGTCAAGACATGAGACTATAGCAGCCTACAGTCCGTGGCAGAACGGAGTATGCGAACGTGCAGGAGCAACTTGGCAGACGGCTTTTCAAAAAGGGTTACTGGAAGTTGACCCCCAAAGTAAAGAGGAAACCGAAGAGCTTGCCGACCAAATAACTAATGCACGTAACACCTTGGTTAGAAAAGAGGGATACTCTCCATGTCAGCATGTGCTTGGACAAGATGTGAGAATACCTGGATCCATTCTCATGATCGACAGAAATGAACAAATGGAGTCTGCTCTTGAACAAGGAGAGAAGACACATGAAAGAGCACATAGGATCAGAATGGCAGCCAGGAAGGCGTTTTTGGAAGTAGACAGTGAAGACAGGTTGCGTAGGGCACTTAGTCACAGAACCCGACCACACAGAGGGCCTTTTTCGCCAGGCCAAGAAGTTTTAATTTGGAGAAAGGGTCGTGGGCAAACAAAGTGTCACTGGCAAGGACCTGGGAGAGTTGTTGGAGTGCACTCGGACAAGGTGTGGGTTGCGTTTGGTGCCAAGATATACCGTTGTTGTCCTGAACAAGTTAGGCATCAGAGTAGAGAAGTGCAAGACTTGGCAAGGTGGATCCAGAAAACTTGAGAATCCACAGAAACAATCTGAGAGAGAGGGGGGCAGGAAATGTCGTGGAATGAGACCGACAGCCTAAGCCTCCTGAATCAGAGCATGAACATGACATGGACGTTGATGGAGGTCAAGACATGAGCATGAACATGGAACATGACATGCATGAGTTTGGAGACAGGCAAATGCAAGAACGGCACTGGCCACAGGAACATCATGTGGACAGTGATCAAATCATGGACACTCCAGAATCTCCCGCACGGACCATTACAGTCCGAGCATGGGTGTGTCAGTGAACCAAGAACAGGAGAGTCAAGGATCTGACATGCAGACTGAGGACAAAGATCCAATGATGGAAAATGACACACATGGCATGGAACAACATGACACGGGACAGCATGGCATGGAAAGGCATGGCATGGAACAGCATGTGGAGCAAGAGACGGGACAGCAGGGTTCACAGCCTTCACACAGCATGCAGAGACCAGGTAATGATCCAGCACTTGAATATGGACCAGTAAGGACGACAAAGCTTACTGAAGCTATGAGGAAAAGCCTGGACAACCTGGATTTTGGAAGACCACGACATGACACACCACAGAAACCAAGTGATCATGCTGCGAATGATGCGTTTGAGTGTGAGTTGTTGCATGACACATACTTGCGTAGGAAACTTGAGGCGTGTGCTACTTGTCATGTAAGTGATGATGTGTTCATGGCCACTGTGAAAAAGGCAGGTAGGAAGGAGATCAACATCAAGAAATTGAACAATGACAGACTAGATGAACTGGTCAATGCAAAGGCCAAAGAGTGGGCGAAGATGATTGACTCCGGAGCTGTTAAAGTGCATGTTGGAGAAGCTGCAAGGAGATTGGTAGAAACGCATGGCGGAAAAAGGTTGCTTGAGAGCAGGTACGTGTACACCACGTCTGATGGAAAAGACACTGTACCCTTGAAAGCAAGGTGGTGTATAAGAGGTTACCTTGACCCTGACATACTTGACCTTGCAACCGCCGCACCAACCTTGTCACCAGAGGGGTTTGCTACAGCCGTCCAAATGATTACCTCAAAGAAATGGAAAATGAAGATCGCAGACATTGAAGCTGCCTTCTTGAGAGGTGATGATATGAAAAGGACACAAGGCAAGGTGCCAGTAAAAGTACCGAGTGATGGCATACCCGGAGTTGACAGTGAGTCAGTCATAGAACTGATAAAACCAGTATACGGGTTGGCAGACGCACCACGACTGTGGTGGAAGTCACTGACGAAGACACTGGGAGAACTGGGAATGCGACAGTCAAAGCTGGATAGTTGTGTTTTTCACTACTGGGACCCCGAAACTAATGTGTTGGATGGAATTATTGCGTTTCATGTGGATGATCTGATAATTGGTGGCAGTGAAAAGTTTTATGATGATGTTTTTGGGAAACTGCAGTCGAAATATCCTTTCAAACATGTGAAAGACAAACAGGGTGAGTTTTTGGGTAAACAATTGGTTCAATGTGATGATGGGACTTTGTGTATCCAACAAAAGGAATATGCGAGTGCCATGGCATGTATTCCTGTGTCAAAAGAGAGAAGGCGAGAAAAAGAAAGTCCCATCACGGAGAACGAGAGGGGACAAATGCGTGCAGTGCTTGGTGAAATCAATTGGTTGGTTTCTGGAAGCCGACCTGACCTAGCTGCTTGCTCACTTCTTCAACAAAGAGTGTCAAAAGCTGTTGTTGGTGATTTGATTGAGGTTAACAAGGTTGTTTCTCAGGTTCATGATCATTCCAACACTGAAATCAAGATTCTTCCTATTCCTATTCAAAACTTGGAAATTGGGGTTTGGTCTGATGCGTCTTTTGCAAATGCTGAAGCACACAAAAGTCAGGGAGGGTATATGGTTTGCGCAGTGGAAAATGAAAAAGGGCTCAAAGAAAATAAGTGGTCAAAAGTCTCTCCATGGAGATGGCGTAGCTTCAAGCAGGACCGACAAACTGCTTCGACTCTGGGAGCAGAGTTATTGACTATGTCAAGGGCAGTGGCTGAGGCGAAATGGTTACGATCAATGTGGACAGAAATGACGTGTCCATCATATACCCTAGAGAGTGACAGAGAACTCACGAAACAAACTGCTATCGTGCTCTCAATAGACAGCAGACCTGCATATGATCACTTGCATGGACAAGTCATGACAATCAAGGACAAGAGGCTGGCAATTGAGATGCTTCTGATGAAACAAGACATTGGGAGCGAAAATGTGCTGGTAAAATGGCTTCCTACAGATCTGATGCTAGTAGATGGACTGACAAAGTTAGGTGCACCTATGATGCTGCTTCGGAGAGTGTTACGAGAAGGCAGAGTGATACTACAAGAGAATGATGAGATGACCAAATGGGCCGGCAAACTTCAAAAGAAACTCAAAAGTTGATTCTTTTCTGTTGTTTTTGTGTTTGGTGCTGCTGTTTTGTGTGAAAAATGGAAAGAGAGACGGTGAAGCGTGTAGAGAATCCATTAGGGGACGTGTGAAATGTACATGTCAGTCGGATTCTCTAACATGAACGTATGTGGACATCTGGGCACGAGCCCCCTTAGCATAGCCGACGATCAACCAAAAGGCGTGATGGATCTACCACCTGTGTACCATAGTTGAGGTGCACAATATATATATACCATGATATATTCTTCTATAATGCTAGAACCTATAATATATATAATTATATTTATATATATTAAGTGTTATTTCTAGAATAGACCGGTGTGTTTTGACATCCCCATGTTCACTGGTGAGTTCCATTCCCGTATCTGGGCTACCCTCTCATCAAAACTAGCACATATAGGTATTGAATGCTATTGAAAATCATCGTTGTTTCTAAATAAATCGAAAATCATCAGTGTTTCTAAATAATTCCTCCAGAAAATTGGCAAGTTTCCAATAGTTTTCCATAACTCTATGTGATATCCCTCCCTTTCTTCAGGCCATCATCTCTGGCTCGGGCGGTGGATATCAGTCGGCCGGGGGTGGCTCGCCGTACACCATCCACGAAACGCAGGCGCGCCACGGGGGAAGCAGAGAAATCTTCGGAATCTTCGGGTGGGAAGGAAGTCGGGTGGGATTTTACAAAATGGTGAGATCGGAAGATCATGTTCTAAGACGAAAAACGGGCAGTTTTTCATCAGATGGTCAGTCTCAGGTCACCAGAAATATGTCTGACTCATCTCCGATGTGCTTGTTGTCAGGACTATGGCTTTGCAACCATCAACGTGAAGTGGAACAAGTTGTCGGTGGAGTACTGGAACGACCAGGTTGCTGGGAGGAGTTGCTGGGAAGAATTGATGATATGGGGATATTTCATGGGATATATAGGAATAGGGGTAGAATAACGTAGAATAGGGATATCACAGGGATAGAATAGGGGCAATGTGAGGATAGGGATATGAATGAATTTTGCTGTATAGCTTATAGCCAACCAATTTGTGATTTGATATACATGGGGCATAACAAATTAGGATATGGGATGTTTGAGGCAGGACTTGACCAAAAATGTCACTGGAGAAATGGGCATCCTTTTTTTTGTGAGTAGGTTGGCTTATCTGTTAAACATCCAAATGGCCACTTGGTAGGTATCTTCATTTTTGGACCAAGGCATTTGTAGAAGATTTACGCCCGCTTTAGATGGTGATTGCTGGAGGGTAAGCCATTCATATTTGAAGCGGAAGAGTTTCTGTGTTTGGTGGATTTTTGGCCGCGGGTCAAAGATAAACTTAGAAACAGATAGAAACTGAGTATACAGTATACATAGATCTGGATAGTATAGGGAATCATCCCCAAATCACCTTATTTGAGGTTAGTGACTTATTTTGAATTACGCAGATAGAGTGCATCATTTAGGCTGCTGGCCTACACATCTTTGGACATGTTTTTGCACCATACCTCTTCGGATTGTCAGGGAAAGAGACTGTGGGACCCCGTGGTGATTCCGAAGGTGGATTTGCAACAGGAGCTTCCCGGGGCATCAACCAAAACAAGATGCAGCCCACGAACCCGAATGCAGTCACGTAGAACACTTTTATGAAACAAGTTATTTGTCTTGCACATGTTTCCCCTGTTACCTTACCAGTGCACTGTAGACTGTGGAATGCGGAAGAGGGTGGAGTGCAAAGTGTGGAGTGTGGAGTGTAAAGTGTGGAGTCTGGAGTGTAAAGTGTACACTGTGGAGTGTAGAGCGCGGAGTGTGGAGTGTAAAGTGTGGAGTGCGGAGTGTAAAGTGTAGAGTGTAAAATGTAAAGTCTGGAATGTGGAGTGTAAAGTGTAGAGTGTGGAGTGTAAAGTGTGGAGTGTAAAGTGTAAAGTGTGGAGTGTAAAGTGTAAAGTGTGGAATATAGAGTATAAAGTGCAGAGTCTATAGTGTGGAGTGTAGAGTGTACAGTGCGGAGTGTAAAGTGTATTGAATGTGGAGTTCAAAGTGTGGAGTGTAGAGTGTGGAGTGTAGAGTGTGGAGTGTAAAGTGTAAAGTGTGGAGTGTCAAGTGTGGAGTGTAAAGTGTGGAGTGTAAAGCGCAAAGTCGGAAGTGTAAAGCGTAAAGTGTAAACTGTGGAGCGTAGAGTGTAAAGTGTGAAGTGTGGAATGCGGAGTGTAAAGTGTAGAGTGTGGAGTGTAAAGTGTGGAGTGTAAAGTGTAAAGTGTGGAGTGTAAAGTGTGGAGTGTAAAGCGCAAAGTCGGAAGTGTAAAGCGTAAAGTGTAAACTGTGGAGCGTAGAGTGTAAAGTGTGAAGTGTGGAATGCGGAGTGTAAAGTGTAGAGTGTGGAGTGTAAAGTGTGGAGTGTAAAGTGTAAAGTGTGGAGTGTAAAGTGTAGAGTGTATTGAGTGTGGTGTGTAAAGTGTACACCGTGGAGTGTAGAGCGTGGAGTGTGGAGTGAGGAGTGTAAAGTGTGGAGTGTAAAGTGTGGAGTGCGGAGTGTAAATTGTGGAGTGCGGAGTGTAAAGTGTAGTAGAGTGTAAAGTGTAAAGTGTGGAATGTGGAGTGTAAAGTGTAGAGTGTGGAGTGTAAAGTGTGGAGTGTAAAGTGTAAAGTGTGGAGTGTAAAGTGTAAAGTGTAGAGTGTGGAGTGTGGAGTGTGGAGTGCGCAGGAGTGTAGAGTGTGGAGTATGGAGTGTAGAGTGTAGATTGTAAAATGTAAAGTTTGGAGTGTAGAGAGTAGAGTGTGGAGTGTGGAGAGTCATCACATGTCACAACATGCCACGGCTGCCGCGGATTTTGCACATTGTCGCCACTTGACGCAGCCGTGACAATGCGGTTCGCAAGAACACACAACACGACACGTCTGAATCAGTTTACTTGACAGACGAGTTGGTTAAGGATGGAGGAATGCTGGTGAATTGTTCACCATATGAAGGAAACATAAATGGCCGCGAACATATGCACTGTTTGAACAGTTAATATTCTGATTTGATCCCAAAACCTTCAATTATTGTGGCATGCTCAGGCCATCAAACACTATATATATAATATATATATAATATGACCCACATCATCATACAGTCTCGTTTGTACTCTGGCAAGAAAAGGTTCACATTCTACTACGAGAATTGTCTATAGGCGATGGATGTTCCACCGCAATGTTAGATTCCCGTAGAAAGAATCATCCCGAAACAAAAACATGTGCAACATCTCAAAAATCGCCAAGACGTCGATGAGTCGACGTCAACCCTCCCCCAAATTCGTGCACATACATACATATACGTACATTATATATATATACAATTATATTTATATATATATATATGTATAATTTGCATTAACCTACAGTGGTAGTATATGTATTTTGTGAACGACATCCAGCTTTTGTGCAAATATATTATATATATATAATCTATATAACTAATATATAACATCTCAGAAAGGACTCACCCCATCCACCCAGGAGGGACTGCTGAAGAAACTGCGGGAGGCAGCTCTGAAGTCGGACCTTCAAGCCATGAAGGCGACTGGCACCATTTCTTTCCCTTCCAGAAACGGGGTCAACTGTCCCTAAGGCCCTTGGATCAAACCAAAAAGGTGCCGCTTTAGCGAACTCTTCATGGGCCACTGGATCTTTTGGGGCTCAAGTAGCTTCTTTTTTTGGCAATGCCACAGTTATGTAAATGTTCAAGTCGGGCATGCTATTTTTCCAGAAAAAAACGATTTTACCAAAATGGGGCCTTTGATAAATGGGGAATCTCAATAGCTGGATTGTTCTAATTGATTTAATTGAATATGGATGGTTTGAAGATACCCCCATTTCAGGAAACCTCCATATGATCACGGCTCAAAATGACACTCCAAAAGTTCACTAAATGGTAATCCGATCCTACATGAAATTCCCCGCAACTGCCACCACAAAGTCTTCAAAGTGAATAATTGCATTGGATGCAATATATGTCCACCTGGGATTAGTTTGGTGCGTTCGGTGTTGGGTTTTGGAGACTGGCCAACAGTTGAGCAGTAAAAAGAAGGTAAATGCCACTTGTATTGCGTGAATCCCGATGTTTGATGGTTGAATCTTCATTTCTGTTATCACATCATCAGGATGCCATCGCTGCAGCAAAGAACTACGGAGTGCCACGGAAAGGAACTTTGCTCCGGTTGGAACATGGTAATGGTTGGTTTTCAATGGGTTTCAGCCTTTTCTACAACATTCTTTTCACTCTAACCAGGGGCTGGTTCTTGCAATGAGCCTGGTTGCTTGTTTTGGCGTATATACCAGTCCGTGCCCAAGATTTTGTACTCAGCTTGGATGGCATCTTGCTGCAAAGTTGTGGTGATTTGGCTGCAATACAAGATGGGCCTTCTCAAAGCAAAAGTTCAAGATTCCGATTGCAATATAGTGCAATCCCTGAAGAAAGACATTCGATAAGAAACATTCAGTTGTCAGTAACTGGAATAGAATCTAGAAATAGAATTGGGGGCAGATATGCAATGAACACAGAAGAAGAGGCACACAGAGACTAGCACTTTTCAGAGCCGGCAAAGATCAGAAGCCAGAAAACTGTGACTCATCAAAGAAATAAAACAGTTCCCATCAAACCGAAGGTGGACAGCAAAGGACCAGTGTCTCAGTGCGCTCAGGAAGCACCAACACAACAACAACGACAACAAACAATAGTAACCACTTTTAACCACTATTTTATAACCACTATTATATAACCACCATTATATAACCATTATTATATAAGCACCATTATATAACCACCATTATATATCCACTATTATATAACAATTATTATATAGCCATTTTTATATAACCACCATTATATAACCACTATTTTGTAACCACTTTTCCATAACCACCATTATATAACCATTATCACATAACCATTATTATATAACCACATATAACCACTATTATATAACCACTATTATATAACCATTATTATATAACCACTAGTATATAACTATAACCATTATTTTATAACCACTTTTCTATAACCACCATTATATAACCATATAACCACTATTGTATGTGGACCCGCCGCTCCCAGGTGGAGGACCGCCACGTGTACACTGCCGCGGTGGCTGGGGTGAAAGCCTTTGAAGCTGAAGGCTGGGCGGCCGCAACGGCGTGCCGTTTGGAACCACCAAAAGCATTTAAAAAAGAGTGATACCGCAAAAGCATATACGAATATGTATGATTATGTATGGGTATGTGTATATATATATATGCTCCAGGCTCCAGGCCCTGCCACCCCCCCATGGGATGGGTACCCCCCTCCCACCCTGTGGTAATGGCTGTGGTGGTGGGGTGCTTTTGGCACTTGAGATGTCAAAAAAGTGCACGCCGTTGTGGCGCGAAGCACATTTCGAAGTCAAAATGTTAAAAACACCAGGGTTCGGACCACTTTTGGAGGTTCAGATGTCGCTTCGCTTCACTACACTACACTACATTGCACTACACTCCACTACATTACACTACACTACACTCCACTACATTACAACTACAACTACAACTACGCAACTACACTCCGCTACAATACACTCCACTACACTACATTACACTGCACTACACTACATTCCACTACACTCCACTACACTCCACTACATTACACTACACTACATTACACTAAATGACACTGCGCCACAGATAGACAGGTGGACAGATAGACAGATAGACAGATAGACAGATAGACAGCTAGACAGATAGATAGATAGATAGATAGACAGATAGACAGATAGACAGTTAGACAGATAGACAGATAGATAGATAGATAGACAGATAGACAGATGAAAGAGAGAGAGAGAGAGATAGATAGATAGATAGATAGATCGATAGATAGATAGATACATAGATAGATAGATAGATAGGTAGATAGGTAACTACATGAAAGAGAGAAAGAGATAGATAGATCGATAGATAGATAGATGCATAGAAGATAGGTTGGTAGGTAAGTAGATAGTCAGAGAAAGAGAGAGAAAGAGAGGAGACCTCAAGCACCTTTCGGTCCATCAGTGGATTCGCTCTGCCATCCCTGATTCACAACAACCAATCTCTCCTATAGGTTTCCTATTTTTGTAACTTCCGCCACCGCCTTGTGCGGTACTACTGGTAAGTTTGACTGGTTACTCTGCTATGTCTAGTGTGTAGGTTGAAATCACGCTGTATCACTATGGTTCTGGGATATCTCGTGGCAACGTACACTGAGTCTAGGGTGGTCCGACCTGGCCCCCCAACACGATACTTCATACCCTCCTGTGTCAACTTGGTAACTGGAACCCCCTTCTGGCTGGGAAAATCATCTATAATTGCTGGATGTTTATGGATTCTCCGTTGCCATATGTGTGATGACCGGAGGGTACAGGAATGGCTTGGACTCATCCTCTCTCAGATGGTGTCACTCTCGCAGGAGGCTTGGCTTGGGTCTTCATGAGTCCAAAGATCATGAAGCGCCCCGGTGGCACGACATGACATGCGTTGACCAAAGGAATCAACGGGCCAGAAAGGGAAGGATGTTCTCTGGTTGAGCAGATTGATTATGTTGGCCTCTTTGGGGCTCAGACATGGGTCTAGCTTTGTTCGAGACATCATAAAGATCCCAATATCCAATTGGTTCTTCTTATTGAAACAACATTCAACATGAAAATTGTCTATAAAACTTTATTAACTATATTTTGTATATATATATATATGCACAATTATATAAAGTTGAAATACGGGTGCCATCTTGTCAACACCCAGTACATTTCACTGCCACCTCAAAACGACCTCGCAAATCAGTAGATCAGTTGGTATCGCTCCCCAATGCCCTGATAAAGCAGGGGATAGGCTATTTCAACGTGCCCAGATATCACTGGATTCGTTGGGAAAGGCAATTGGGATTGTGCCCATGGATTTTTTCCAATGTCTTGGGGTTTCCGGTTCCAATTGTCCCTTCAACCAATCCCATGAAGACACCTCTGGAAGCCGAGGAACGATGCAGGACGCACTTCAGGAATTTTAGCCTCGTGGACCACGGAAGGCCGTGCCTCGCGATTCATGGGGACGACTGTGGAAGAGTATGGGATTTTTGGGTTAATGATGTTTGAACATGATTTAGGCAACAAACATGTGGATATTTTTGTGGAAATGTTAGATTATATTAGTGGAAATGTGGAAATTAAATTAGTTTCTGGTAGTTTTTTGAGACTTTGCTATGGAAGCCATGGCCAATTTGGTTCGATGATTTGTCTATCTCCAAGCATATGATTTTCCATGGCCATGTGAAATTCCCAGGGGCTACGACATTGGTGGCTTTGAATAGGTGTGTTTCCTATCCAACAAATGGGATGCCAAATGCTCCTAGATTTTGATCCATACACAACACACAAATTTAGATCACCAACACGGTGGTAGTGTGGAAACAACTATGCCTTAGGGATGTTTAGGTTTGTTAAGAGTATCACCCGTTGCTGATTGGCGTAATCATCAAATAGATGTGTCCACTTAGTCATAAACAGCGGTCTTGATTGGTCCAATTGGAATGTAGGAAAATGCCAATGATTCAGGTCTCCCCCAGTTTAACATTTGGCCGAAGGAAGTTTAGAAGTCAAACTTCCGACAATATGGACAGATGAAAAGCCGAGCAGGGAAGAGGCAGAGGGAAGAGAAAGATTAGAAGAAAGAAGAGTAGAAGAGAAAGAGTAAGAAGAAAGAAGATGCAGATGCGTGAAAAGGTAGGAAAGTCGCGAAACACTGTGTTTTTCCAATGATTTGCGGCTCCGGAGGGTCGAAAAGTAGGCTCGCTAAAGCGGCGGGTGCGGAGCTAGCTGGCCAGATGAGTGATGAAAAATTGCACGCCGTTGTGGCGCGAAGCACATTTTGAAGTCAAAATGCACAAAACACACCAGGTTCGGACCACTTTTGGAAGTTGCGATGTCGAAAAAGTGCACGCCGTTGTGGCGCGAAGCACATTTCCAAGTCAAAATGTACAAAACACGCCATTCTCGGACCACTTTTGGAAGTTCAGATGTCGAAAAAGTGCACGCCGTTGTGGCGCGAAGCACATTTCCAAGTTAAAATGTACAAAACACACCAGGTTCGGACCACTTTTGGAAGTGCAGATGTCGCAAAAGTGCACACCGTTGTGGCGCGAAGCACATTTCCAAGTCAAAATGTACAAAACACACCAGCTTCGGACTACTTTTGGAAGTTCAGATGTCGAAAAAGTGCACGCCGTTGTGGCGCGAAGCACATTTCCAAGTTAAAATGTACAAAACACCACATGTTCGCGCCACTTTTGGAGGTTCGGATGTTGAAAAAGTGCACGCCGTTGTGGCGCGAAGCACATTTCCAACTCCAAATGCACAAAACACTACATGTTCGCGCCACTTTTGGAGGTTCGGATGTCGAAAAAGCGCATGCCGTTGTGGCGCGAAGCACATTTCCAATTCCAAATGCACAAAGCACCACATGTTCGCGCCACTTTTGGAGGTTCGGATGTCGAAAAAGCGCATGCCGTTGTGGCGCGAAGGACATTTCGAAGTAAAAATGTTCAAAACAGTAGGGGTTCGGACAGCTGGCCAGATGAGAGATGAAAAAGTGCACGCCGTTGTGGCGCGAAGCACATAAAATACCACAACAGGCAGATAGATTAGATTAGATTCGATTAGATTCGATTAGATTAGATTAGATTAGATAGATAGATAGGTAGATAGATAGATAGGTAGGTAGGTAGGTAGATAGTCAGAGAAAGAGAGAGAAATAGTGAGAGAGATCAATCACCTTTCGCTCCATCAGTGGCTTCGCTCTGCCATCCCTGATTCACAACAACCAATGCTATTTTTGAAACTTCCGCCACCGCCTTGTGCAGTACTACTGGTAATCAAACATTACAATGGAAAAAAACCATTTGTAGTTCATGTTATCATTAATACCTTCGTTGACAGAGGATTTTCAATTGCCATGTTTGATTACCGGAGGTATATAGGTTTGACTCAATTTGATTCCTAAGATCTAATCTGTGTTGCTAAACATCTCAGTTTGGGTGATTAATATTCACATTTTGAAACGGTGGAGGTGGAACTCCCCATGTTCTTGTTGGTTCAAAACTTTAAATGGTCGGTCTGAAAATGAGGGGACATACCTCGAACCGCAATTTTCATTGCGAAAAGTGCTGACTACTTCACTAACCATCAAACTTTAAGTTTTTCCAGGTCCAAATAGTTAAACTTTAAATTAGTTCATTAACCATTAGTCCATTGTATTATTAGCCTATTACCGTCTGATAATTTAACATAGCTATTGAAAATGGCCATAAAAATATATCGTTGATTTACCCAGCTATAAATGGTGAATCTTTCCATGATTATCTTAGTTTACCAGAGGGTAAATCCCATTAAACACCATTAAATCCCATTAAACACCATTAAATCCCATTAAACACCATTAAATCCCATTAAACACCTATAAATGGTGAATCTTTCCAGTTCGCTATGTAAACGTTTGCCCAGGCCTGCCCACCACTGAGACACGGCTGGTTGTGGCCAGCACTTGCTGCTGCTTGGCGAAAACCTGGGGGGCCCCTGGCGGTTGATGGGATTTCATGATGGAACCATGGGGATTCAATGTGATTTCATGATGAAAATTATTAAAAATGAAGAAAAACGGTGATGGATCATATTTGACCAATGTATTAGACGGCTTTGGGTCTGTCTGAAAATAGTACGAGGTTGAACACCAAAATCGTGATTTTAGCAGACAAAATGACGATAAACCATCCGAATTTGTGGGTACCCTACTTCCAGACAACTCATACAAGGGTATGGCGCAAAATTATCAACCTTCCAAAACTGGATGGTCTAGGTCAAAAAAGTGCATTGTGTGTGGTTCTATGACGTAGCCATAAATATTTATATATATGCATACATATATTGTATAATGGTGTCTTAACCACCAACGATCAGTCAGGGTTGTGAACTAGCCTTCCCATTATTGATTGTATTTCAGTAAACTTTTGTTGGGTAACATCCAGCTGATGCATCAACTAGTAACTATTGTTAGCAAAGGCGCAATAATGTGTGTGTGTTTATCCATACATAGAATCAATACCTTATTCCATACATATGTCCTCATGTGTATATATATATATATCTATCCATACGTATCTGCATGCACATAGAATCGCATAACCCAGCGCTTCCAAAGGATAGGTTTACTGAATCCGTTGTCACAAAGGACAGTTTGACTAAAAGGCTGCAATTTACCCATGTTACAAGAAACTATGGAAAACATCCAGAACCATATTTTCACGGGCGTTTCACGGCCTTTTCACTCACTTTTTACGGGCTTCTCACGGCCTTTTCACGTTTATCATGATAAGTTGTAATTTCATCAAAGTTGACCAGTTTCACATGTGACTGGGTGAGTTTTTGGTGTCCGTTGAAGTTCTGGGTAATATCACATATACATATATACAAGTTTATTTTTAGATACATATAATATATATATATATACATACACATATCAATATATTTATATATATACACATACATACATGTTTATACATATATATATATATACATATATCTTTGCCAAGGGTCTCGTGGCATTGACCGCGTCACTTCCTTTGAGGCTCAGGTGCTACGAAGTCGCAATACAAAGACGAGAGCGCCGCTGGGTTTACGCCGATGGAGTGGGGTTCATGGCACACGGTGACACCATATTCATAGGACACATGATTGATCATATTTTACCAATGGTATAATGATAGTGACTTTTCTTGAGTGGCAATATATATGTATATATATATATATGTATATATATGTATATATATATATACAGCTGAGGGTCCACCCAATTGGAACCTGTTGGGAGTGGACCGGCCGGACGCGCCCAGGTCCTATGTGACCCGCAGGAGACATGTTCGCCTCAGAAGATGGCGGAGAATTTGGTGGATGGAGGTGACTCGACTCGAATTTTTGGGGGCTTCAGAAATGGGGGAGTGCAATCTTTGGCGATGTGATTTTTAAGGGGAATAGGATCATCCTACATCCTACCCTCTTGTAATTTAAGATAGTAGACTCAAGTGTATGGGTTTCAGAAATGGGTTGCAATCTTTGGCGATAAATGGGAATAGTAATGTATACCCTCTTGTAATTTTGTCGATAGCTCTGGAAAATCACCATGTTTAAGCGGTAAATCATCTATTCATGGGCCATGTTCAGTGGTTATGTTAAATTGCCATAGGATTTTAACCAGTTCGAAATAATGTGCAAGGTAGCGTTGGCCAGGAGCTTCAGGTGTCGCTGGGTATCCCCAAACGAGTGATAAATGGTCATAAGTCATAAATTTGTCTGGTAAAGCTGTACACCATTAATAGATGTACCCCATTAATAGAAGATGTACCCCATTAATAGAAGATGTACCCCATTAATAGATTAACCTTGGTAAAGCAAGATGTACCGCATTAATAGACCAAGGTTTTATCAATCCAGGGTCTACATGATTGGAATACCCCAACATGACCAGTAAACAACATCTAAGTAAATCGACATAGTTCGATATATCTACCATAAACCCAAGTTCCTCAGTGCCAACTTAGCTAACGATTTGGGGCACCACTTTTGGAAGATGATGATCAATCAAGCTCCTGGCCGTCCTGTTGATGAGCGTCTTGCGTGTGCTGGCTGATCTCCCCACATGTTCTGAGCCAATTACGAATCGTAGATACATATTTGTGTTCGTAGCCAATAGCATCATCATCATCATAATCATCACCACCAGTATCAGTATCAGTATCAGTATCAGCACCGCCATCATCATCATCATCATCATCATTATGTTTATTTATCATATTTCATCATCATTGTTCATCACCATCGTTCATCATCATGTTTCATCATCATTGTTCATCACCATTGTTCATCATCATTGTTCATCATCATTGTTCATCATCATCGTTCATCATCATCGTTCATCATCATCGTTCATCATCATCGTTCATCATCATCGTTCATCATGATTGTCCATCATCATTGTTCATCATCATCGTTCATCATCATCGTTCATCATCATCATCACCATCATCATCATCATCACCATCACCATCATCATCATCATCATCATCAGTGTGTTTCATCACCATGTTTCACCATCATGTTTCACCATCTTCGTTCATCATCATTGTTCATCATCATCATCATCATCATCATTATCATCACCATCATCATCATCATCATCATCAATATCATCAGTATCATCATCAATTTCATCAATATCATCAATCCATTGATCCATCCATTCAGCCATCCATCCATCCAGTAATCAAACAAACAATCAATCAATCAAATTCCCATGCTGGTAAGTATCCCAGGTGGCTTGTGATTAATTACACTCAGATTGTTTTTTCTTCGGCCGGTGAAAGATCTACAATGTAGTGCCCTTCAGTTGTGTTTCGTTGTTTCATAAATACACCCACATAAACTAGTTCGAACCATCTACCATAAACCATAGTGAAATATTAGTATTTCAACCAACTTGGCTAACAATCTTCCACAACACGATACGGTTGGTTATATGTTATTAAAGGAGGTTTTGAAGTCCAAACTCTGTTATACGATTTGTTCTCTGAAGATCGCAGAGAAATGAAAACAGAAGAGAAGTGAAGACACAAGAGTAAGTCGTGAAGATCGAAGAGAAGTGAAGACAGAAGACTCAGTCAAGAGAACGGGATGTGAAGAAAGTTGACACAGACAATGGTTTCGGAAACCAGGTCTGGTTTCGTTCCCATAGGCTCTCCCGGCTTTTCGTTGGCTTCCCATCCCTTGGCAACTTCCGCCAACCGGCTTGCCCGGGCACTACTTGTACAATATATATATATATGTACACGATTATAATCAATTATATATATATATTTAATATATATATATATATATTATATAATGTATATATATATATACATATATTCCCATATATTCCCCAAAAAACATGAATTCCCCATATCATCTCCACAAAAAGAAAACGTCCAAGGTGCTGCTGCCATGTTGCTCATGTCCAAGGATCAAATCCTGGTGGATGCGAACAACAACAGCACCAAGGCTGGCTGGTTGTCCTTTGATGGCCAGACGATGGGTATAGTTTATAGGATGGGTATATTATGTATAGGATGGGTTTATAATGTAAGATGGGTTTATAATGTGAGATGGGCATATTATATATGTATATATATATATACATAAATATAGTTGATCCATAGTTTACCCATAGTTGATTCATCCATATACATATATATATATATATTATAGATAAATAGATAGAGAGAGAGAGAGAGAGCAAACCCCAAATAGATAGAAGTTAGTTGCCGAATCCAGGATTTGTTGGGGGAACATTTCATCATCCTGGAACTAAAAAATCCTGGAACTGTTCGACATTTTCCAATACGGGGTGGTAGCTCCACCGAACATTCCCACGAAACGTGGCATATGATGCTGGCAAAAGTCCCCATTGAAGTGTTGAAAAAGAGCAACCCAAGGGTTTGATCCATCTTGATCATCTATCTATATTTCATCAATCCATAGTTCATCCATAATTTATCCATAGTTTATCCATAGTTGATTCATCCAAATATATATATATGTATAATCTACATATATATATATGTATATGTTTAAAGTGGCTTTCACCGCTGCAGCGGCCCTATCCTTAGCGAGGCCTTCGCACTGCCGGCACTGTCCATCCCGAAAGACTTCGTGTTGCACGTGCCTTCCTGGTTGAGCAACAAGGAGATGCGGGGCACCTGGTCGTTTCTCCAAGGGCTTAAGGCTGGGGTTGATAGTGTTCATCATGGTTGATGATGGTTGATTATAGTTGATAATGATAAGCAATGGTTATTACAAAAACTGTTATATAGTAATGGCGACGTAGCTATTCTAATAATATTAACCCAACTGTTGATCGGTTATTATTGGAAGATACTACCAAATACTACCAAGGTTAAGGGGATTCTGATAACCCAGAGTACGGAAACCTATCAATCCTATTCAGAATTCACCTCCAGCGTAATCATTTCCGCGGCTGGCCGGGAAGTCCATGAACTGAATGACTGGATGGTAGCTGGGAAAGTCATCAAACTCAATGGGGGATATGCCTGAGTTGCGGTAGGCATCCTGCGGTAGGCGGTATGCCTCAAAATGAGGGTTATACCATGTTCTACTATATATGTTATGCTGTTGATCAACTGACATATCCCATTGACTTGGGCTGGTTGCTAGCTACTGTGATGCTAAAATCTATGACAAACGTTTGTTTTTTTTTTTTTTATTTTTTTTGTGCAAGTGCCAACATGTTGCTATATGCTATACAAGATGATATGCATGTGTATATATATACTGTATATAATTAATATATATATATATACACATAGAGCAACATACAAATGTCATACATGCAACTAGACATGTCCATGTATTATATGTAATATGTATATTTATACCCACACGGCCTTTGTGATTGATGAATCGCTGCACTTCTCGGCATATCCATGACATGTGTCACACCACTGATCTCACCTTCGACTCTGACCTGCTAGGAAGAAGTGATTTCCATCAGCTACACTGGTGGGGAGAAGGGCTCTCAAGATGCCATCGAGCAAGCCAGGATGAATTGGGCGTGTTTCCAGTCGGGTGGTTCTCAGGGGAGGCTGAGTTCGGTTAAAATATCAGAGGTGAGGAATTTGGATAGAGACTTACATCATCAATATTCTTAAAGAAAAAATGTATACACAACATGTGACATATATACGTATATATATATATATATATGTATATATATATATATATATCATGTCAGTGGAGTGTACATAGTGTGTGTTTATATATATATACGTGTGTATTGTATCACCGGGTTCATCTGGATCCATAGATCCATGGATCCATGTGCCGACCAGAAACATCAATAGCCGTGGTGGAAATCCATGGGCCAAGCCAAAGCCAAATGGGAAGCAAACTACGAACATCACTTGGATGATGCTTAACTGGGGTTAGTGGCTAATAGGCTAATAACCAATATGGCAATATTGGGATGGATCAAAACCCATTATTATCAACTTTAGTGGAATGAAGATCCATTTACCAACTATTTTGATGTTAGGAGTACAAGGTTTTGACCCATCCCCATCTGAGTTCATAGTTCATAGCCACTTTGATTAGTTGGAGATGTTTTGCAATCAGGTTGATGAGTGGGTGATGAAACTCACGCAGCAAGTGGCACCCCGCAGGAATGCCGGGGTCCCAGAAGACATGATCGAAGAAGCCACGTTGGCTTCGCGGCAGAGGAGGGCCATCGAACATTTGAAGGACTGGATGTAGCAGGGGATTGCAACAGGTGGTTAAGTTGGTTGAAGACGTAGACCAGCAAACATTTCACCGGGCAGCACCGAATGTAGGTTCTGAATGGTTTTAATCGCCTGATTTGGGGGTGTTGTTCAGTTTGGGGACCCCAAGTTATTGTCAAGGCTGACGAGGAGTACCCAATGGCCTTCGAGTCTCTAATAATCCATCGATTTGGTTTACCTTATTAGGGAATACTAGGGAAACAATGGGAAATATGGTTTGTCGGTGCATGGATTTGGGTTTTACTTTCTTCAGTTTTTGATGGAGACAGTAACTTAAAAACAAGACAAATCCGCGAACCCGGCCCCCAGACCCCCACAGTTAAACGGGAACCTTTCGCTCCGCATTCGGGAAAAAGTGAACCTTATGGATTTGTTCTCCAAATCGTTGTGTGTAGTTTAAGATGGCCAAACCAACATGGTGATATGTCCTATCCTTTATCATTATCTTTTCGTTCAATTCCCATGTGGTTCTTATTTGTGTCCATAGTTTCCTTCAGATGTTTCCCTTATGTTTTCCCAGGTTTTTTCCCAGGTTTTTTTCATGTTTTTTCTGTACGAAAACCTGATCTCCCATGTGGTTTCCCCATGTTTTTTTTCCCTAACAGAACCCTTGGGATTTCTACCGCCAGACTGCCATGGAGTCGGATGACGACCAAGAGCTTCGGAAAGCCATCGACCCTTAGCAGCCTTAGCATTGAGACCTTCATTTTGGGTCAATTATGATTGGTGCATGACGTTTTTGTTGGACCATAATTATTTGGGATATGTGTTTGGGTGAAAATCACCAACTGGCGGAATATACGGGAATATCCAACTAAAACCAACTAACGGTTTAATTTGTACATGTTGTTTGAGAGTACCTAAGAGTGGCCATGTTTCTGATACATATATACATATATACATATATACATATATACATATATACATATATACATGTATGCATGTATACATATAATTATACATAATATATATATATACATATTATATAGGTATATATATACATATAGACACATATATATATATATATATATATACATATATATATACATATTCATAATATATACATATACATATACATTATATATATATGTATGTATATATATATATGTATATATACATATGTATGTATATATATATATGTATATATATATATGTATGTATATATATATATATGTATATATATGTATGTATATATATATGTATGTATATATATATATGTATGTATGTATATGCCGTAGATGTATATATATATACACATACATACATATGATATTGTATATGTCTGTTTGGGTACCTTCAACATTTGGTTGCCTGAACGTATAGTATAGTATAGGGTGGGGGGTTGCGAATTCAGGATTCCCCAGAAAAGCATCCCCGAGAATCAAAACCATTTTGCCGGAGGTTCATCACCTCCAGTGAAAAAATAACCAAAAAAACAAAAAAAAACAAGCCTCCAAGCGGTTTTGTTTGAGTTCTCCTTCTGCTATAGCTGCTATGTATAGCTGGTGACATCGGATTTTTGGGTGTAGCTCTACTGTGCACAAAAAACCCCTTGGACTGTTCCGTGACAAAGCCTCCAAGGACTTGGCAGACAAGAGTCGTGCCCAGAACGAGATCGTTGAACTGGTGCGGGATCCACCTTAAAGGTAAACGGCTATCCAGCTTGGACATAACTGGGTTGAGCACGTTGTGTTGTCTCATTTTTTTTCAGACTGTTGATGTTTGTTTTGCTACAGTAACATATCAATTCGGTCCACCCCCCTTTTCCAGTAACAGTAGATAAATGGTTTTCCTTTAATCTACCGTTTCAAAACGAACACATGGTTCCAACCCCAGCCCCAACTTTTCTCCACTCCAATCCTTCCACCGCACCCCTCCTCGAACTTGTATCCGCCCCAATGCTGAATTGCATTTCACGCTCAGTACCTAAGCTTGGCAATATGAAGAGAAACTTTCGGGAGTATCAACGGAGTATCAACCACCAAAGATAGGGGATAGAACTGGAAATCCGAAAATGTAATTATATGTAGTGGTTAATCAGAGGAACATGAGGAACATCATTTCTTGTTTGGTTTTAATCCTATTCTTGGCTGTTCGTTCGTATGATAGACTTGTTGGTTGACACTGACCAGAGGTCTCTCTTTGCCAATCTAACTTTCTGGAAGCTTCCATATTTGTATCGTAAGAACCATCCCTTAATTGTTTCTCTCTAATCCACCTAGGGATAAGTTTCAAGAAATAGCGTTTGGTGATTTAACAAAGCCATGCAATCACCATTCTCAAAGTCTCAACACGTCAAGAATCTAATCTATGATTCGGAAAAATTCCCATCGCTGTTAGATTGCCGGAAGAAAACCAACAGGATCCAGATACAATCAACACATCGGACTGAAGAACCAACATGTCTCGAATTCTCGCAAGTTGATTAATTATGAAAAGGATATATACCTCCCAATGACGGTTGTTGACTTCGGCAATTCAACCATTGATTATTTTTCTTCTCAAACAGAAAACGCCCAAATTTGATGCTTTCTTACCATTCTCCCCGTTAAACATATTTAAAAATAGGGTGTCCCCATTTTCAGAGACACCCAAATGGGGATGTCTTTACCAGCAACATGATGAGACGGTTGTGGATTGTTCAAGCGTTGAACCCAAAATGGGAATCCGATACAACATGAGGCCAGAATTTCATGACCTTTACCCTGCGTGAATCCAAATAACATTGCAATGGAAGATCGCCTAATTGCTGGTATTTCTTCTACTTACCCATAGGATCCATGTATGGTATATATATATATGCTAACATTTGGGGTATATTGATGGTAAATGTTACCATATATAGCATACATGGATCCTATGGGTTATATAAATATGGTGGATTGTCCAGCCATGTTTGATGACAGCGGAGGGTAGTCATATGTAGTCATCATCCTTGGATGGTCAATAGGAAATGTCAGGACATATCAGGACATAATCAATGGCATTGCCTTTCATCATCATCATCATCATCATCATCATCAATCCACATCAATCCATCAATCCACATCAATCCACATCAATCCACATCAATCCACATCAATCCACATCAATCCATCAATCCATCAATCCATCCATCTGGGTAAGTTATAACGACCTCACTGTTCGACCGAGCCCTGGAAATCATGGTTAGTATTGGAAATGATCCCCAAATGGCCGAACTATTCAGGTTTGTGAAATATTATAATTTACCCAGAATCCATCAATCCATCAACCCATTGGTACGTGGATCTTTGGAATTGGATTTCTGAACAAGCCATCCCCACGGCCTGCAGATTGCAGGCCAAAAGGCGGCTGACCTTGAAGGAACTGGAGGCCTACCCGCGATGTCAACCCAACCAGCAAGCTCCGCTTAGGAGATTTAGGAGGTACAGTAGCCAAGGAATTGTGGATTATGGGCGTCTACATTCCCTATGAAATATGGTTGGATACCTAAGATAGCTGGGTAATGGATGTTTATTCCCACACATATGGTAATAATAGGTTTTGACCCATCCGCATATATTAAATGCTACTAGGAGTTTCCAATCCACATGATATTAGTATCATGGGAGAATATTGGAAACATGGGAATCTATCTGGATTTGAACCGAGCGATATGATAGTTGGGTGTGGAAGTGGGGTGTAAAAAAAAAACACCAAGCTATGGCTATTTCAGTAGGGAATCCATCAGGATTACTCCATCGGAACCGGGGGACACCAGTGGCTGCGGTCCGCCCCGGTGATTTGTTCGGGGATGTTCGACTACTCAGCATATTTGGGAATTACCCTCTGGTAAACATACAAAAAACTATTGAAAATTGCCATTTATAGTGAGTTTTCCCATTAGAAATGGTGATTTTCCATAGTTATGTTAATTTACCAGAGGGTATCATAATCCATTGAGGGGAGTCCCGTTCTCAACCAACCAGTACATATCCAGGCACTGCTCAACTGGTGTACCAAATGTAACTATCGCCAACCGGCACCTCCAAGAATTGGTCAAAATCTGGGGAATGCACCATTTTATGGACATGTTCATAGGGAGAATGATGAGTTTCCATGGACATGTTCAGACATGTGTTTGGTTATTACATATATATAATTAATTATAAATTAGATATATATACATATATATATATATATCTGTTGGAGGGACGGTTGTGTGTGACCCATAAAATGAAGAATCGTGGGACGGGTAAGACGAATCTATTTGGAGTATGGTTGGTGAATGGCAAATAACAGATATATATTATATATATATACATATCTGTTTATATTTCGAAGGCCATCTTCATAGAGGAGTCCCTATATACTGGTAACAAAAGATAACTGGTTGGTGGTTTGGAACATGTTTTATTGTCCATATTTTATAATGGAATAATCATCCCAACTGACTAATATTTTTCAAGATGGTTAAAACCACCAACCAGATAGGTATTTCAATTATTCTCATAAACCCATGGGTAAATCAACTATAAATGGCAATTTTCAATGGCTATGTTAAATTATCCTGAAGATAATATCTTGATAGATCCTCTAAGACTCTAAGCAACATGCTGGCTTTATAAGCTGAGACATGGTGTGAACTTAGCAGAGCGACATTGACTTCCGATTCAAGGCCCGCTCGGTTCCTTGGTGTTCAAGTCTCCAATAAAACTGGTCTTCCGGCTTTAAACACATATAATGATACATATATATATATATACAGTATACAGTTTTCATATATATATATAACTAGTATCCCTAATATGTATATATGTACATATATAATCATATATAATCATATATAATCATATATAATCATATATAATCATATATATATATACTGTATGCTATCTTATTTGATTTTGCCAAGAAGCCCCTTCGTCTCCATGTTTATCCTGCACAAAATCCTTGAAAAACTGGAGGTTGGCCTGGCCAATGTGAACAAGGTGCCGACTGGGCCCACAAGAAATGCTGGCAATCAAGGGGAATGATGCAACAAAAAAATACAAAAAATAAAAATGGTTTCATCTTAGTTGCCTTCGGTCATCTGAGTTCATCTTGGTTTATCTCAGTTCATCTGAGTTCTCAGTCTCGTATGTTGATTTCCCCAGACTGGATCATGATAGCGAACAGATGGGCAAAGATGTGCGGTTCATGGACTAAATATTGGCAAAACCTGCGGGACATGTTTTCCAGCTCAAAATGCTTAGTATTAGCAGCCAGCATGTATTGTCCTTGCGGTTGATGTTTATTTTTTTTCAGAGGCAGAAACATATTTCCATGTGGCTGATTCTTTGGGGCGCACCAATGATTGAGAGATGAGAGGAACCAAACATCTTTGAAAGCCAACAAAGAACCCCATAAGACATCATAACATCCCATACTGGTTTTGAAGATCTTCTAAGATTGGTTTTCCATTGGACTTGCCACTGGTTCGGATACTCTCCAGTAAACAAGTGTTGCAAGGTGGATTGGAAATGTCCGATTTGAGAGCAGGAGTTTTCCGCTTCAAAATTGCACCATTCATCATGTGTAGTATCGTAATACGTATGCCTTTTGTCAATTAGTGATACAAACCGGAACGTGATCATGGTGATTGAACATGGAAACCAGGCGCCCATAAAAAGGAGTAAAAAACAAAAACAATGGTTTGCTTCAGAATTTCCCAGAGTCAATCCATCGATGGTCAACTGATTGACTTTCCATTTTCAGATGTTTTGAGTGATTATGGTTTAATCCTGACTATGTAATTTCCATTTACCGGGCAATCCTTACTAAATCAATGTCTTTGTGTGCAAATCCCAATGGCACATATTAGATCCCGATTTTGATGAGATTTCCTCCGTCAGAATTGTGACGACTTTTTGCGGGTCCACGACATGATCGAACGCGCTGACGTACCCTGGTCAAGAAGATGGACATGGTGATATAGTGGGGATATAGCACCAATCACCTGAGTTTGCTGAAGATGATTCGGTTTAGTTTCCCAATGGGAAATCCACTTCTTGGGGATTTTTTTGGGGAGTATGTTGTTATTTTTTTGTCAAATACAAGACAACTTTAATGAACTGAGGATTCAGCCTATGGTAAAATACCAAGAGATGTGGAAGAGATGTGGAAAACCCATGGTTGAAGCCACGGAAAATAGGTTTTGGACATTTATGTCAGTTTAAGGGAGGCTTTAAGCAACACAAATAGAGGAACTGGTGTTGATTCTGTTTTCTTTTCCACCTTGAATCGCGAATCGTTGGTTGAATTCACCAAAAAATCGCCTCGATGCTGAAACCAAACGAAACGACACCATCCACCAGTGGAATCAGAAGCAAAACATGCCTGTTGGGATCCCATTTCCAGACACATATAAATATTGGTTGCAACCCATTTTCAACTGGTAAGTCTGGTAAGTGGCTTAGTTCACTCCAGATATGAGATACTCGTTGGTGGTTTGGAACATGAATTTTATGACTTTCCATATTTGGGAATGTCATAATCCCAACTGACAAATAATTAATACTTTTCAGAGGGGTTGCCTCCACTCTAGTAGGAAACGCCCATCTGGCAGCCTGGGAACCAAATATGTTTGTGTTGAATTTCACATATGTTTGTGTCTCTAAGATCAGCTATGGGAAAAAAATGGGATGTGAGGACGTGTTTTTCCCCGCTAGTTTAGTTGCTGGATTTTGTGTGGGACATGTACAGAGGATTTTTTGCGCATTGGTGGGTTCCATTATTGCGGTCCCTGGAAAATCAACTCAATATAAGTATGACTCTGGTGCTGGTTGGTCTCAAAGATGTTGATGTTTCCTCCTCTGAAAATGATGATTCCACCAATGATTTTCATAGGGGATGGGTGGTAGCAAAACCAAAGGCTTAAAGGCCCTGGCCCCAAAATTTGAGACGCTCCTAGGCGATGCATCTGTCAAATACCACTGCTGCACAGGAGTGTGTCTTGGCCAAGTGGTTCCACCATTGGGTCATTGGGTCTCCTCCAGGCTTCCATGGAAATTCATGCGGGTTTTACCCGGGAACTGGCGTTCGGAACTGGAGTCTTTTAAAGCGCTGATTGATGGGGATAGCCTCCAACGTTGGCTATGGAAGATTGCCTCCAAAGTCTAGAAGATCCACCGTGAATGTAGATCATGTCCATGGACCTGCACCATCAATGGATTGGTTTTGTTGGGAAAATTCTACACCGGAAAGCCCCATGAAATTAATATGGGAAAATATGTTGATATGGTTGTAGATTTTCCCAAAACCACTCGATCATAGGTATGTGGTAACTCCACTGAAAATCTTTCGACCGGTCTATCCACCGGTCGCACTTGGTCATACTGGGTCATACTGGGTCGTGTTGCTATGGCCATTGGAGCCGACTTGGGATGTCATCAGATGAGAAAGCAGCCCCTTTTTGGGATCAACGATTTTTGGGACCACGGCTATTGGGCCATGGCTATTTCTGCTCAACTTAAAGTTGGTTGAATTTGTGAAAATTTGGATTGGACCTTCACAAGAAACACATCAGCAATTGTCGATTCACGTGTCTAGTCTGGTCCGTGCATTTGGGATGTAGATCAATCTCCATTTAGAATTCGTGTGTTGAATGGGCCTGTGACGCTGATCAGACCTGAATGACAAGTATAAATCACCACTGATGGGGATCCGCAATGAACCAGTTTTTAGATGTTTTTAGTCTATTGGGTATAACATGGTTTTCCAGCCTATGCCGGCATATTTATGATAGGTCCCCGAGTGAAGGTTATTTGATGATCCCCCATGACCAGGTCATGATGTTCAGACGTTGAAACCACTGTTGGTTGATTCATATTGTTGGTTGATGTTGGTTGATGTTGGTTGCATATCCCGAAAAACCATCGTCTCTATCCCATGAAACCAGCCATTTTCCTGGCTAAGTCCCCATGTTTGGGGGGTCCCCACCCCAACGTTTAATACGTTGCTTCTCCATGAGGTCGCCTGTCCCTGGCATTGGAAGCTTTGCAGTATGCACTCAATGAAGGTGCCAATTGCAAGGTGCGGCACCGGCAAATTTGGGAGCTGGGTATAGCATGGCATACCTTTTAAAAAGGCGCGACCTCAAGAATCCCGGGTTTCATCAGCTTGAGACCTTAAGAATTACCAGTTAAATTTATGAAATATGTAAGCTAAAAAGCCTGGTCAGGACTTAGGGAGTTGCACTGAAAAATGCCAGCTTGGACATGAAGACCACTTTTTTTAGTGCTGGTGACTTACGGCCCCTGTATCTCCAAAAGTATAAGATTTGCTATATTACACCATGTTTGTTTTTTCAAACTCCTCATCGTCTTGCTTCTCTCCTGGGAAAAAAGAGCACTTGAACTTCCGATAATTCAATATAATTCATGGCAATCTAGAAAAGTCCCACGTTTATCCCGGTTCGAAAGCATCCTCCATTGGACCATGTTATTGTGGCATCTTTACTAAACAATGATTGGGACTCACATCTCTGCCAGGAACCCATGGAGAAGGCTGTGGCCTGGTGCAAGTTGGCGGACGCCTTGGAGCAGAAGATTCTGGCGGCCGAGGAATTCTGCAAGAAGCAGGCGCCGTTTTTGGAGAGTTTCTCGGAGTTTCTCGTTGGGAAAAGGGGGAAAACCATGGAAAACCCTCAAGTCACCATGGTTGTTAGATCTAAGATGGTCGAACTTGGAGATTTGGGGTCTTTGACAAAGTCGGAGATGGCCAGTGAAAATTAGGTAATTTAGGTGAGTTTACCATCAGAAACTGAGGGTTTAACAGATTTTACCCATCAAAAATGACGATTTAACCATACCCTCTTAACAGATTTGTGCCAGAGATGTTTTTGAGATTTACTATCCACTGGTTTGGAGAGCCGTGATTGCTCAACCCTCCCAGAGGTCGGCAGGTGTCAACAGATAGTTGGGCGAGTTTATTTTGGCCATGGTTCTTCGAGTAGATTCACCTTACATTGTCATTCCGGCTTCAGACCCGTTGGCAAGACAGGTGCATGTTTCTGGCTGCCCAGCTCGAGCTGGCTTTGCATCAGTGCATGCCACATTCTGGTTGGGATCAGGCCCGTGCATAACCGAATGACCTGCAGGAAGCTGATGTTCAACTACGATCAGCCAACTTAGACTGCAGGCTCGATGATGACACTATGAGTTGTGAATGCAAAGATAGAGAGCAACCTTTGTCAAAAGCTGAGCAGACTGTTTCCTCCAGTCCCTCGGCAGGATGCCAACTGCAAGGGAACGATTTTGACTTTGATTTGCTTGAGCATTCAATGCAAGTTTTTGCCAACTTATCCGATACTTTGGATTTGCAAGTTGATTGGAGTTTGCCTGGCCTTGGCTTGGTGACAACTGACAGCCATAGCAACTGCAAACTATCAGCCGGCGAAAGGGTATTCGAAGGCACCAGCGCTCTCCGACAACGAGTGTGCCTGGTAGGCCTCAAGAGAAAGGATCTGAATGGCCAAGTGGGTGTCCTCACCACCTCGCTGTCGGCCTCCTCCAGGTGGGGTGTGCTGCTCCCAGACGGACAACGTCTTGCAGTACGCCCTTGCAACATTGAGCTTCTCACAGGTGTTGGCTGCGCTGCAGACTCAAAGTCTGCCTCGCCAACCTCATCAAGCAAGGTGCATGAAGGGAGATTTCAGATCGGGCACCCAGTCCTGTTGACAGGTCTTTCCACGTCTAGTCTCAACGACATGAAAGGCAACATTGCCACCTGCATGACCTCATCTGGGCGCTATGGTGTGCGATTACTATGTGGCCGGACAGTGGCAGTTCGACCAGAGAATTTGAAAGAAGAGCACGTTTGCCATTTGCACATGGCAGACTCTCCTACAGATGATGACTTGAAAGAGCAATCGAAGACAAAATGTGAGTCAGCACTGTGGGGTGCCGAGCTGTTGGAATCCGATGAGCCACAGCCCCAGAAGATGCCCTTCCTGTTTCCACCTGGCACAGCCAAACCTTACACATATTGAGATGATGCTGGCAGGGCTGGTTGTTTTCACACCGCCCGCAGGTTTTTGTTCATGTGACAATGGTGATTAGTTTCCAAGGTTCCGAATATTAGTTTATATGGCCTTCCAGATCACCAGTATCGATGGCCCCAAACATGATATGACCGCTCCGCACTGGCCGGTCCAGTGTGTCTGCACTCTAATTTACTTCCCTCGCAAGAGGCCTTCAAATATCAAGAGCAATTCCTGGTTGGAGTACGTTTAACTGACTCCACCCAGATGCAAGTCTCACTTGCAACCAAGCCCAAAAATCCACTGGTTTGGAGGGAGTGGTTCGGAGCTAGGAATAAAGTCCGATTCCGCAACCTCTCCGGATTGCGCGACTAGGATTGCGCAACTAGGATTGCGAAACTCTGCTTGCGCAACTGCTTTTTGACAGATTGCGCAACTCCCAGGATTGTGCAACTCTGCAACTACACTTCCTCCAAACAATTCCAGCCTCCATAGAACTTGAAAATGACACGTGCCGTCCACAAGAGCAAGACGCTATCAAAATTCCCACCCCCATGGAACTTCAATCCGACTTGGAGTGTCCACAAGCTTAAGACAAGATGATATCAAATTCCCACCCCCATGAACTTCAAACTGACTTGGAGTATCCACAAGGTTAAGATGATATCAAAATTCCCAAGCCCATGGAACTTCAAAGTGACTTGGATTGTCCACAAGGTTAAGACGATATCAAAATCCCCACCCCCATGGAACTTTAGAGTTTCACAATACCAGTTTCACAATCTGACCCCAGGAGTTTCACAATCCGCCTTTAGAGTTGCACAATCCTACTTTATAGTCTCACAATCCGAATTTCAAGTTTCGCAATACAAGTTTCACAATCCGTGCGGCAAGTATCAAAATCCGACTGGCAAGTTGCACAATCCAAGTTGCACAATCCGCCTGGAAAGTTTCACAATCCGACGTTGACCTCATAGGGGTATCTACATTCCCCATTAAAACATGAACTAGGGAGTCAAGGTGCTAAGAGTTTTCCCTACCACACGGTAGTTTCACCATTTTATAAACATGGGGATTTAACATGATTTGGCCAACACAACTTGGGATTTAGCCAGATTTATCCACCAAAAATCAAAAGTGCGGAGATTTTTTGGGGCAGCGGAGGTTGAAGAGGAGATGGAAGTGTTTTGCTGATGATTGCAGATGTGTGTTGTTCCACATGATTTGAGATATTTTTGGAAGACATGATTTATTTATATATATACAGAGAGAGAGAGAGAGATTAAATAGTACTTGACATCAGAATGGTATCTTTGCGATTCGTTGTTGACTTCGCCGCCCAAAGCCGGGGAAGGGGGATGCGGATCGGTGGCCAAATAGCTGGTCCCAAAATTCACCCAGAACCTATGTACTGTATATAGATACCTTTCAGATTCTAAAAGAAGTATTCATGATAATGTAAATAATATATGTATATATGTATATATGTATATATGTATGTATGTATGCATGCATGCATGTATGTATGTATGTATGTATATATGTATATATGTAAATATGTGTATTTGTATATATGTATATATGTATATATATATGTATATATGTATATATATGTATATATGTGTATATATAATATTTATGTATATATACTAGTATGTATATATATATATATGTAAAAAATACGTATATATATATGTATATATATATATATATATATGTATATATATATATATATGTATATATATGTATATATATATGTATATGTAAATATATGTATATATGTGTATATATATATGTATATATGTATATATATATGTAAATCTATGTATATATATGTGTATATATATATGTATATATATGTATGTGTATATATATATATATGTATATATGTATATATATGTATATATATATGTATATAAATATATATGTATTTATATGTATACATATGTATAGATATGTATATATATATATTTATGTATATGTATATATATATGTATATATATGTATATATATATATGTATATATGTATATATGTATATATGTGTATATGTATTAATGTATATATGTATATATGTATATATGTATATGCATATATATATATATGTTTATATGTATATATGTATATATATATATATGTGTATGTATATGTATATATGTATATATGTATATGTATATGTATATATATAAATGTATATATGTATACATGTATATATGTATATATGTATATATATGTATATGTATATGTATATGCCAGCGGGGGGAAAACCGCGCTAGCGTTTTGGCCGTTTTTGAAAACACACATATTTCATCCAGAACATGCACATCTCACGTTACGCCACTGGGTTGGGGAGTTGGGGATGTTAACGGTCATGTTAACTTGCGTCACATGCACATCTCACGTTACGTCACTGGGTTGGAGGGGGGTGGGGATGTTAACGTTCATGTTAACTTGCGTCACATGCACATCTCACGTTACGTCACTTGGTTGGGGGGGTGGGGATGTTAACGTTCATGTTAACTTGCGTCAGATGCACATCTCACGTAGGGTCACTGGGTTGGGGGGTGGATGTTAACGTTCATGTTAACTTGCGACTATCCAAGTCTGCCATACCATGCAGTCCCCCGACCAGATCCAACGGCCATGTTAACCCAAAGTTGATGCGAAGCATCCGGGTGTGGCAGTGGCGTTGGATGAACTCCACGACCAAAGGTCTGATGGAGGTCACAGGTCAAGCCTTGAAGAATCGTATGGCAATGTGAGTGGAAAAAAAAATCGCACGAATTTTCAGGCACAAATTCCCTGTAAATTACAGGTCATCGTTAAAAAAAACACTTGAAAATCCCGGGGATTTTACAAGACCATTTTGGGGAATGAATCAGGAGTTTCGCTATGGCGAAAACGACATTTTTTTTCAAAACGCTCAAAACACTGGCGCGGTTTTCGCCCCGGCGGGATGTATATGTATATATGTATATATGTATATATGTATATATGTATATATGTATATATGTATATATGTATGTATGTATGTATGTATATGTATATATGTATATGTATATATATATGTATACATAATTAATCATCATTTGTTAAATATCATATATGCCGATACTAGCAGTTTCTTGGTGGCCAAACGTTCAGGGCGTGTTTCATTTTGACCCTGGAGGTGGGTGAACAGGGCATGAACAGCGTGATCATTTGGTTGGTGGTTTTCCTGATCCTCGCAATAGGCAACTGGTGACCCGGGGGACCCGGGGGACCCGGGTGCTGGGCAGCTTCAAAATGGGCGCCCCTTGGGATGTCTTTAAAAACCGATAGCCTGGTTTAGCGTTGGATCTGTTCATTTTCTGAACCACATTTTCACAGAGATGTAGTATAAATTTTAAACAAAACAATATGGGATGGTTGCATGAGTTTCTTCAGAAATGGTGGATTTATTATGATTGATACCACTTCGTTCCTTTTTTTTGCGCGGAGAATGATGATAACTGATAAACAACCGAATTTGATTTGGGGTTTCAAATTTGGATACAAAAACATGCAATTTTTGATTTTGATCAAGGAATATCACGTCCAGCAGAACTGCTCTCAAGCGTATCTAAAGCGGTAAAGTAAAATTCCATGTAATATCTCACTAAATCCTGGTTGGTGGTTTGGAACATGTGTTTTTTCCCATTCAGTTGAGAATGTCATCATCCCAACTGATTTTCATATTTTTCAGAGGGGTAGGAATACCACAAATTAGCTATACTACACTATATAGTACTATAATACACTATAGAAATATATAGAAATATAGTATATTGTGAGATCATAGTATACCACCAACCAGAATCTAACTAGCAAACAAGCGGCTTTTTCAGGGTACCTCAGGTGAATCTGCAGGTGTTTCCGCAGCTGTTGTGAATCCCTGTAGGTGACGGCCGCTTCAGAGCCCCAAGATGTCTTAAAAGCCAAGTGAAAAGCGAAGTTAAAACTCTATAGCTGTTACCCTCTGGTAATTTAACATAACTATGGAAAATCAGCATTTTTAATGGGAAAACTCACTATAAATGGCCATTTTCAATAGCTTTTTGTATGTTTACCAGAGGGTATCTATGGCTATCTTATAACTTATAGCATCTTATAGCATCTGATAGCTCGCCAAGTTAGATCAAAAACCTGCCACCGCAGGCGTTGGTGGCTTCTGGTGGCTGCAAAATCGGAAGTCCATGCAGGCGGCCGAAGGAATTTGGTAGCCCAAGGGTTACCAAATCTACCCAGTGAACATCAACCATGGAAATCCATGGTTGTTTCCTGCTTGGAAGTGATCAAATGGTGATTTGTTCAGTTCGATGTTAGTTTTCTAAAGGGTATAGATTCGATAAATAGTTTTATCATCGCCACTTGGGGGTTTATGGGATAACCAAGATCAGGAAGATGCTTACCCTCTGAACATGTTGACATTGTTGAATGCCTCGAAAAATCTCGAAAATGCCTCGAAATGTTCTATGAAAATCATCCTTTCAAGAAACTAAGACCTTTGAATGCGCTGGGAAAAGCACAAATCTGGACGTACTTGTTTAACCTCCGACAACCGAAATCAACGGTTGTTTCATCATGGCAATGAGGAGTTCCGCATGACACTTCTGGTTGGAACTAGGGAAACCTGGTTGTTGGAAGGGACAACCATTTGCTTCCCCAGTCCGGTTCACTACATAATTCCTGTCACTGGAAACACGGTTCTTGTACCCGTCCCAACCGTTAGGTCGAATAGGTTGGAATTCCGAATGCAGCTAGCAATCACTATGGGACAACAAAAGAGTAACAACAAATAATTATGATCATGGCTACTATACAGACAATGGTCATTTGGTTGGGGCTTTCATGTTTTTTTTCAAGCATACAAAAGGGATGATTAGTTGAGATGACTCATATATTCATATTGTGGGATAGTTTTAAACCACCAACCAGCAATAAATGGGACACAACTATTAAAAAAATATTGGCAAATACTAGACATATCCACCATCTACATCAGTAGGTTTAAGACATTTAATAATGGGCTAGGTTTTAACAAAAAGAACACCCATAAAATCCGTTAAAATCCAATAAACATCAATAAACAGCTTTTGGGCTTTATGGATTCCTATTATCACCTATTATTAACCATATAATATTGACCATATGTTAACCATATAATATATGAACCGTGGAAAAAAACATGTCACACATCAGTTGTTCCTGCAGGCCTCCTCCGCCACCACCGGTCGCCCCGACGGCGCTGGCATCGAGCTGCTGGACGCCAGCTGAGGCGGATACGTAGTAGGGATACGTAGTGATGTGACGACGGAGTTGGGGATGTTGTTTTGTTTGAAGATCTATGGAACATATGGCTATGGATCAATACCTATTAATACCATTTGTAGTGGAATGAACATCCATTTACCAGCTATTTTGATGTGAACTACAGGGGTACAAGGTTTTGACACACTGCCATATTAATTAATGGGCGAATCTTACCTGATGTTATAATCATAAAAAGTTCAAGGGGATTACCCTCTGGTAAACGTTTACATAACTGTGGAAAGATCCACCATGCTATTAATGGGTAAATCCACTATTTCTATGGCCATTTTCAATAGCAAACTGTTAGTTTACCAGAGGGTAATGGTAAATCTATGGAAATGTGTGAGTTTCGTTGTGGAAATCTGTGAAAGCTGAGAACGTGTGGAAATTATGGAGAAACATGGGGGAGCTCGTAGGGTAAATCTTGGGTGTGGAAACCATTCCGGAATTCGATCAACATGGCATAAACAGAACCAGGGAAAAACCATGTGGAAGTGAATTGCTGCTTGTTCAAAACCTGTGTTTTCTGCATACTCAGAGTGTGTCCGATTTTTTTTTTTGCTGCCCCACTCCGCTGATGAATCCTCATAAAACCGGCGCCTCCGGGGGGTGTTTCCCTGTGGTGAATGGGAAACCAGCATTGAAGCCTAATGTAAACATGTCATAGGAGAAAAAAAACCATGGAGAAAATCCATGGTGAAGAATTGATTTTAGGGTTTACACTACGTGTTCTTCCCCAGTTTGGGCATGGTCTATGTGTGTGTGATCCCACATGGTGATGAGCCAATGTTCAAGTCAAGTGCATGACAGTGTATGCACCACTGCCGCCGAAACTTCGGCGGTGCTCATTGATTGTTTCTGCTGGGTACAGCATGCGAAAAAAGTCGAGACAAAGGCGAGTTTCCAAGTGGCAAAATTGGGCAGGAACCAGCGTTTTTTATAGTGTTGTTTGTTTCAAGACATTGCAATTCAGACTCCATTTCTGACGAAACGATTTCATCTCAGCGCGGTGAACTCTGGCCCATGAAGAAGTCGTCCAGTGAAGGATCACCCGGCGAAGTTGCTCCAGTCTGTGGTGTTGATGGTGGAATGACCTGTTCACCCATATTTTACTTTGTGATGGTTATTTCAGTCATGGAATCCATATAATCCATGGCCCGTTTACTTCGATTCATGATGATTTACCATATTAAAGATTGTGATGTTCTATAGTTTGCAACCCCTTAAATTACCCGATCGATTGGGGGATGTTATTTTGTTTCCCAACAGGAAAGCATTTCCGGTTGTGAAACGACCTGCAGCCTGCAGCTCAAGGTCCTTGAAGTGGTTGAAACGAAATGGTGCAGGAAAACAGGTTCGCAAAAGCATGGATTTGGGTGTTTAAAAAACTCTTTGATGCTTCCTGCATGTTTCCCTTCTTTAAGTCAATCCCAAAGAGATAGAACAGTTGGACATACATAAATAGAAATATGTTGTAAATGTTATCGAACTACCATCCTTAAACCACTGATCGGCATTTTTTGGGGTGGCTTACTATATACTATAGTATCACTCCCAAAATAGATAGAACAAGTTTGAAATCACAGAGTAGAACTATAGTATATTATAGATAGACAACAGATGATTTCTCAGAGTTTCGAACTGATCTGGATAGGTCCATCGCATAAAATAGATTAAGTTAAACCAATTTTGGTTGGTTACTATAATACACTGGTTGGTTGTTTGGAACATGAATTTATTTTTCCATATGTTAGGAATGTCATCATCCCAACTGACTATATAATATATTTTTCAGAGAGGTAGGTATACCACCAATTAGCTATATTACACAATATAGAACTACAATACACTATAGTGAAACCTCCTATTAGATAGTTAACCATAATTACGATAGATAGTTTTCATAGATAGTTATGTAAAAAATAACCATAATTACTTTAGATAGTGAACCAAAATAGTTTTTTTTTAAGTATCACCACCAGCCGCGACTCGAAGCCCCTGAGCCAAAACTCCCACGGTTACGTTCTCCGCCTGTCCGATGGACGCGCGGAGTCTGAGCCGCCTGAGCTCAGAGGAGCTCCAAGCGCAGTTGCAGGCGTGGAACGTCACCATTTTTAATGGCTGGGTTACCTGGCCTGGTGATTTAACGGGGATTTAATGGTTAATATAGTGGTAAATATGGTAAATATGGTAAACTAACAGTTCGCTATGGAAAATGGCCATAGATTTATAGTGAGCTTTTTCCATATATTGGGAATAGCCTCTGGTAAACGTTTACAACAAACAATGGAAAGATCCACCATTTTTAATGGGAAAACTCAACTATAAATGGTCATTTTCAATAGCTATGTTAAATTACCCTATGGAAAATGGCCTTAGATTTATAGTGAGTTTTCCCCATGGACAATTGTGGATCTTTCCATAGTTATGTAAACGTTTACTAGAGGGTACCCTCTGGTAAAACATAGAACAAATAATGAAAAATCACCATTTTATAGCATAAATCCATGTTCCACTATTTCGATGGCTATGTTCAACAGCTATATAACAAATTACCAGAGGCTATCCCAGTTCATCGTCATCACTTTGGTGTTTTTTTTTCCGGCCTACCAAAATACCAGTGCGGCAGCAGGAACGCGGTTTGCCCACCAACGGCAAGAGATTCACTTTGGCGGAACGCCTCAGCGCCGCTCTGCAGGGCCAGGCGCCGTTGTCCAACGGGAACTTTGGGAACGGTCAACCAGTCGACTCCAAAAAAGTTGACATCCCTCAATAATGGGTGGTTAAATGTGGTTAATTACAATAATAATCTCTACTAAGATGGTTGGTGCTTGTGATGTTATAAGACATTATAAGCTGCCGGCGCAGCCGGCCATAGTGGGGATAAACAGTGGAATAAAGCCCAAATGTGGCCCCCCAATTCTCGAAGGTTTAGAAGAAACCTCACATGGTAAAATGATGTAAAATAAGTAAAATATGGTTTGGTTTTCTGAGTGTACAAAGTTGGCTGAGTTGAGTTTAGTCAATCAGGACGATCATCAGACCCTTTTTGGTCTCTGAGGCAAGCCATGATCAAAGTAGGTGTTTTTCTTAAGTCATTGGGCACCTCAAAATCCTTTTAAAGGGATGGATTGTCTGAAGAAGCAGCAGCAGCAGCAACAACAACAACAAGAACAGCAACAACAACAACAACAACAAGAAGAACAAACAAACGAAAACAAAAACATATCTGTTATTTAAGCGCAATCATGGGGACAGAAGAGATTAACAATGGGATGGTTGGCCACAAAGAGTGTCCAGTTCGTCCACTTCATTTGTGGTTTAAGGGCATGTGGGCCTAACTTCATCCTTTAGTGGAAAGAGATGTAGGCGGAAAAGCCGGTCCACCGACCTTAGGATGCACTTAGATTCACTCGGATTCACTTGGCAGTTTGTTAGAGAAGTACTGGGCATGGCCACATGGCATGAGATCTTTGTTGGGCACCAACCGAAAAAGATCCGAAAAGGGTCGGGCAAAACAAGACGTTTCTCTCCAGATCACGCGCCAGGGTCATGGTCCCGAGTCCAAAGCAAGAGTCGAAGGAGTTCAAGCTGGAGGTCTAACGGGTGTCAAGCCGCTATGATTACCCTGTAATGTCAAATAGCTATGGAAAATCACCATGTTTCATCTGGGCAAATTCCTGTATAAATGAGGGTTTCCTAAAATAGAAATACCCCCAAATCATCCATTTTAGTAGGATTTTCCATTAATCATGAATTATGAATCATCCATTTGGGGTATATACTGTACCCATATTTATGGAAGCCCCCAAATGGCCAATCTTCATCCATTTTCCATAGGTTCATCCAGTTCCGGTTGCCGTACAAAAAAAAATGTGACCTCGATAGTGCCAAGGAGTGTCTTACTTTGGTGAATTCCCACAGTTGCTCCCCAAATACTTCCAGATGGTCGTTGGATCCATTGGGAAATACCATTTGGTAAACTAACATAGCTGTGGAAAAAAAACCATCTTAGATAAATCTACATAAATCCACTATGAATCGCCATGGCAATGCTAAATGACCAGAGGGTATACCATTGGTGTTTTCTCTCGTGGCTGGAGCCCAGGAGCAAAGTCAGCGGGGCGTGTTCGGAGCGAGACGTCTCGCTCCCGCTCCCGATCTCCCAACATGGCAACTCGCTGGAGCTGAGAACATCTGGGAGCTAGGGTGGAAAATCGTATGAACATATATAAACATGGACTATTTAGTAGAGGTCCTACCATTTCAGGAAACCTCTATATATACATGATATGATAATCATAAGATATGATATAATATAATATGATATAATATATTATAATATAATATGATATGATACGATATGATATAATATAAAATGATATGATATAACATAATATAATATAGTATAGTATGATATAATAGAATAGAATATAATATAAAATGATATAATAGAATAGAATATAATATAAAATGATATAATATAATATATAATATAATATAATGCAATATATATATATACATGTATAATTATATATATGGGGGGTTCCATGAATTGGGGATCCTCAAGTCACACTGTTTCAATACTGTTACTTATGGTCATCCATGACTTGGATGATTTGGGGAACTGAATTTCGGAAACTTCCATATGCGTGATATGCGATTCGGCTTGTTCGTACACCTCAACCCATATGTTCCTTGTCTGGTATATTCACAATCATTCCCCCAATCTGACGACCCAGTAGTGGTACATGAAAAAGGGGAGCGTGACATGTTGAGTTTGCAAAATACGTATTTTCCCCCTTGCGGGTATTTTAAATATGTGCGCCCAATTGGTATGTGGTTATATTAGAATTATCACTGATGTGAGTCATAACCATGTATTTACCCTCTGGTAATTTAACATAACTACTGAAAAAATGCACATTTATAGTTCATGTAAATTACCTATAAAAGAGATGGTGATTTTCCAATTAGTTTTTTGAATGTTTACCAGAGGCTACATATATTTACTGATACTTACCCTCCAGTAAATTGACATAGACCCTGGTAGATAGGGGTTGGAAGATTAGTTTCCTCTAAAAATTGGTGATTTTCAGGGTCAACAAGTTAATTTACCAGAGGGTACTAATCTTGATATGTTCACTTGATATTTTAATACGTATTTTGATGGATCAAGCCACGACCGAAGTCACCGGCCACCGGGGTCCATCACCGGTTTGGTTCAAGGTGACCTTGAAAAAAGCCAAAGCACAGGCAGGCTGTGTGGAAATGGGGACACTGGGGTACTACTATAGCTATATATGGAACATATATGAAACATTATACTGGTTGGTGGTTTGGAACATGAATTTCATTTTTCCATGCATTGGGAATAATAACCCCAACTGACTAATATTTTTCAGAGGGGTTGAAACCACCAACCAGTATACGACTGTTTCTGTTTACCGTTTAAAAAATCCCTCAAAAATGGCGTGGGAATAGATTTTGCGGCGGAAATGGCTGAAAGTATCTGTTCTAGATTAGATTTCAGTGTTGAAGACCTTTCGGCTACAATCGACGTAGTGAGTGTGTAATTCTTGAGGAATGTCCTGTTCACAAGATGGCTACGTGGATCCATCATTTGCTGACAAAGGTGAAGCATGTGAAACTGATGAGGTCGAGCTTCAGGTGCTGTGCTTGACTGGAGAAGGAGTGACACTGAGCGCCAGTCGCTCCATGCTTGGGTCTGATCTGCACAAGTTGGTGTCAGGGAAGCTTTCATGCAAGCCAGGCGCAAAGCTCGTCGTGAATCATGTGAATGGAAAGCTGACGCTGAACAAAAACTTGGGAGACCAAGGGATTGTTGGAAAAAGCGCAACGCTGTCCTGCACTTACATACCAATTGATGTGTATACAGCATGGCGTTATGCCTGTGAGCTCCCAAATTGTGAAGGAGAGTTTGCGCTAGAAGGCGTTACACATCTTGAAGGGACAACGCACGGAGAATATTTACACCATCTCCCCTGCAGCCTTGCAAGCATGACTTTTAGCCATGGTTTCAACCAAAGCCTGGAGTGGGTGACCTTGCCATCGAGTCTTCAAAGCTTGAGATTTGGCAATGGTTTCGACCAAAAGCTGCAGCGGGTGACCTTGCCATCAAGTCTTCAAAGCTTGAGTTTTGGCAGTTGTTTCAAGCAAAGCCTCGAGGGCGTGACCTTGCCATCGAGTCTTCAAAGCTTAAGTTTTGGCAATGGTTTCGACCAAAGCCTGGAGCGGGTGACCTTGCCATCGAGTCTTCAAAGCTTGAGTTTTGGCCATCATTTCAACCAAAGCCTGGAGCAAGTGACCTTGCCATCGAGTCTTCAAAGCTTGAGTTTTGGCTACTGTTTCAACCAAAGCCTGGAGCAGGTGACCTTGCCATCGAGTCTTCAAAGCTTGAGTTTTGGCAATGGTTTCGACCAAAAGCTGGAGCGGGTGACCTTGCCATCAAGTCTTCAAAGCTTAAGTTTTGGCAATCGTTTCAACCAAAGCCTGGAGCGGGTGACCTTGCCATCGAGTCTTCAAAGCTTGAGCTTTGGCAATGGTTTCGACCAAAAGCTGCAGCGGGTGACCTTGCCATCGAGTCTTCAAAGCTTGAGTTTTGGCCATGGTTTCAGCCGGAGCCTGGAGCGGGTGACCTTGCCATCGAGCCTTCAAAGCTTGAGTTTTGGCGATGGTTTCAACCAAAGCCTGGAGCGCGTTAACTTGCCATCGAGTCTGCAAAGCTTGAGTTTTGGTTGTCAGCTCACCACAATGGAGCAGGTGACCTTTCCATCGAGTCTTCAAAGCTTGAGTTTTGGCTACTGTTTCAACCAAAGCCTGGAGCGGGTGACCTTGCCATCGAGTCTTCAAAGGTTGAGTTTCGGCTTCCGTTTTGACCAAAGCCTGGAGCGGGTGACCTTGCCATCGAGTCTTCAAAGCTTGAGTTTTGGCGACTGTTTCAACCAAAGCCTGGAGCGGGTGACCTTGCCATCGAGTCTTCAAAGCTTGAGTTTCGGCTTTTTTTTTGACCAAAGCCTGGAGCGGGTGACCTTGCCATCGAGTCTTCAAAGCTTGAGCTTTGGCAATGGTTTCAACCAAAGCCTGGAGCGGGTGACCTTGCCATCGAGTCTTCAAAGCTTGAGTTTTGGCCATGGTTTCAGCCGGAGCCTGGAGCGGGTGACCTTGCCATCGAGTCTTCAAAGCTTGAGTTTTGGCTACTGTTTCAACCAAAGCCTGGAGCGGGTGACCTTGCCATCGAGTCTTCAAAGGTTGAGTTTTGGCGACTGCTTCAACCAAAGCCTGGAGCGGGTGACCTTGCCATCGAGTCTTCAAAGCTTGAGTTTTGGCCATCATTTCAAACAAAGCCTGGAGCAAGTGACCTGCCATCGAGTTTCAAAGCTTGAGTTTGGTTTTGCCTTTCGAGTCTTCATTGAACCAAAGCCTGGAACCTTGCTTCGAGTTTTTCAGTGGAGCCTTTTGGAGACTGTTGCCATCGAGTCTTCAAAGCTTGAGTTTTGGCATTTCAACCAAAGCCTGGAGCGGGTGACCTTGCCATCGAGTCTTCAAAGGTTGAGTTTTGGCGACTGCTTCAACCAAAGCCTGGAGCGGGTGACCTTGCCATCGAGTCTTCAAAGCTTGAGTTTTGGCCATCATTTCAACCAAAGCCTGGAGCAAGTGACCTTGCCATCGAGTCTTCAAAGCTTGAGTTTTGGCTACTGTTTCAACCAAAGCCTGGAGCGGGTGACCTTGCCATCGAGTCTTGAAAGCTTTAGTGCTCCTAGTGGTGGCGATTTATCATGCAATGTCTTTGTCAGTTCTGCTGGTTGTGCTTCGCGCGACGCGTTCCCCGATATCCAAGCAAAAGAGGCTTGCGTTGTCGGTGAATTTTCCTATGTGGAGGGTTTAGCACTGGAATGATGGTTCGCAAGGGGAATCACCCCCAAATGGCCTAAGGCAATAGTTGTTTTCAGGTTAGTGAATTATTAGTACATATTAGTACTATTATAATTTAGCCAGGCACATATTTGATAGATGGGAATATATGGGGGTGGTGTATTAGAAGAACAAAAACTGATTCTGTACATCCCTGCCAGACCAATCAACAGCTTGACCATCCCATGGAGTATCTGGTTGTGCCAATTGGATGTGCAGGACCGAGTACTACCGAGTTAGAAAGTGGTTAATGGACTAATACAGACAGTCATTAATAATAAGTTGTATTATTTCACAAAGTTGTATTATGGATTTATATGGGGGATATACCTCAGTTGTACATGAGCTACCAAGTACTTACTAGCTGGGTCGGTCCTGCACCCCCAAGTAAATTTATAGGGTAAATTGTGGCAACTTGCATAATGTATTATGGTCTCTTTCAAAGTTAGGAATGAGACCATTTTCCCAGAATCACAGAGAACCATAGAGGAAAAAAATATGTTGGCCTTGCAAGCAGCCATTTAATCTATGTAACCCGGTGTGTTATCATTTTGGATGGTTTAGGGTCAAAGCAAATCATTTGTTGGTTTCCAAAGTGTTGTTTGGGTGCGTGTTCAGCAATGCCAAACACACTTCTTTCGGAATGGTGAATTATACTTTTCCAGCCAGATACCATTCAATACACTCTATATACAATCTATATTAGTTCTGTATCGGTATATGTATATCACAGCCCATATAAGGTGAGGTCCCCCAGTGATGGTTTAGTTTCAGCCCAGACTCGTTACAAGCCCCGCAACCCAAGAGTTGACCACGCGTAAATGTACGTCGGTTCCTGACCAGTTTCCCATCCCTGGTGTTTGCAACATCGCTCTCTTCATTGTTTAAAGTTCTAAATTGGGGCAGTCAAATCACGTGAAATCCATTGAAGTCTTTATTTTGTTTGGTTCAATGCCAATTCTTGCAGGTCAAATCCCCTCTTCCCAACCAGACCTCGCCAAGTACTATTGATAAAATATGATAAAATCTCAAATCCCCATGTTTGTTTGTATAATCATGTTAATTCCACATTGACATCTTGTTTGGTTCAACGAATTACAAAGTTGGTTGTTATTATTGGTCATCTTTCCTTTGTGGTTGTTTCAATCCCAACCAGTTGATCCCCTCCCCCTAAGATTGAATCCCCCCGAATCCAAACGCTTTTAGATTTGGATCTATAGTGACCTATACATTTTGGGGTCCCTAAAATCGGGGCAAAAAGGGCGATGTTCTATCAGATCATCACAGGTTCTGGTTAAATCCAAATACCACGAAGATCGGGCCAGAAATGATTGACTTATGATTTTGAATGTGGGTTCGCAGGGTGGTTATGACAAACTCACTTTCCAGCACCTCACTTCGCCAGGTGTTCGAAAATGAGTTACACTCCCTCAAATGGCCATCAAGTAATAGAAAAAAAGATGGAACAGTGATATCAGTGATGATGAACCCATGGTTTTTCGGGCTTTTCCATGGCTTCCAATGGCTTTCAACGGGTTAAAGCCATGGGGTTCACCGGAAACTCCACGGTGACCTCGGCCCAGGGCTTGCGCTTTCTGGCGGAAGACATTTGTGCTGTGGGTCTCCAAGCCTCCTTGGCCTCGCTGGATGCTGCGGTGGCCGCTGGGAGCGTTCCCAGCAAGCTGCTGAATGAGACGCCTGGACCTGGTGGACCTGGCGGGGGGGCTGGTGTTGGTTGGTCATGGTGCCCTTTAGTAATGTTATAGATATATATATATATATATGTATGTATGTTTATTTATTGTTAATGGTTGCTTATAAGCCCATCAACTACAGTATTATATATATATATATATACATATGTCCACCACAAATCATTGTCAACTTGATCGTAAACCAACTTGTAAGATAACTCTGAGGCACCACCTTGTAGTAGTTATTAGTGATTTCACCATATACGCTGAACCAGAAGTGATGGTTATATAGGGTTCATTAAGGTTCTATGTACAACTGTTCTACTTTCTCTGTAAGCTGCCTTTTGATTCTATTGGAAAGGTTTCATGACTTCATTCTTTTTGCATTTGATAACTTCTTGCTTTTGCTTCACCAGATTGGCCACACACTTGTCCATGCAGCTTCGCTGATGTCCCTTATTATGATGTCCACTATTTGCCTTCGTCCCAGATCGCCACAGTTTGAGGCTGGAAAGCAAGCTGTCGACTTGCATTAGCAGCTGGGCTTCAAAGGGTTTGGTGTGAGCATTCGCCTGCGCCCAAAAATGGGGTATGACCTGCTCCTAGTCCCATATATATATATATATAATATATATAGTTACTATTGTCCTGATGGCAATTTTGGTGATTTACTTGTTTTCTTGCGATAGCTATAAAGTACTACACTGACCCAGGGCTGTCCGCTCAACTTACAAAAGTTCTTGAGATCGGCCAGTGGGGTCGCTAGAACCTACCCCCCACTCAGGTGACCCCAACGATTGGGTCTCTTTTTGGGCTTAGGAACCAAGAACCACTAATGAGGCTTATCAACCATGATCTATTATCATCTATTATTATTACAGTAATTATTAGGGAGGTCAAGCAATACGCTTCGGACCTTTCAGCAGCAGAAGGGGAAGATATGCCCAACAAGCAAATCAGATCAAGGAAGAATAGCAAATTATCGAGGACAACAGAAGATGATAGACTTGCAAAATTTGGTCTATTGACACCTTGAAAAGAAAAATAAATATGATTTTTTTGACCTCATAAGCATCTTTTGACCTCACAAGCACCCATGAGACCGCAATTTTGCACATTTTTTTGACACGAGCTTGCTTTGTAGACCCTTTTTCTGGGCTTAACCCCCACCCTGCCTGGCGCTCACTCCCAAGGCATGGTTGAGATGGCACAGCCAAAACCTCCGAGCTGACACGCGACGTGCGGAGAAGAAAAAGTGGCCTTCGCTGTCTGGTGAATGGAGGGAGCAGTGAACAGAGTGATGGTTGCATGTTGATATTCTGGAGAGAAAAAATAATGGGGAGCTGAGGAGCCACCAATTGAGTTTCCCAACAACTTGATCGTTTCTGATGGTGATTGGTTCATATGGGAGAACCACAAAAAATACCCACATCGAGATAATGATCGATGATCCTCATTGTTTTTTTGGGGAGGCATGGGACAAAGCCCCCAACCAGACAGAATATACCCAAACAACGAGATTCATCCGCTTAAAAAATGGGAATGACTGAACATAATTGTCCATGGCATGGAATAGGATGATATGATATATATATGTAATATATATATACGGTATATATATATATATATACCAGATGATATGACTAACCCAATCGTGTAATTATATAGGTCACAAGCTGGTTCAGCCGAATGGGATCCAATATGACACGGTTGCTAGGTAAATGATTGAAACAAAGGGGGGAACTTGGCCAAATTTAAAATCAACCCTGATGAATGGGTCCATCCTGAGGCACAACACTTTGATCCATACTTAGGACCCCGCAAGATTTGGGGTTAACCATGGTTTCCATTGGTTTCCCATAAATGCTCTCTTTGCATGATCGATCAATATTCATGATCACATGAAATCGGCAGTAGAATCCCAAGGTTGAAACAATTTTTATAGCTGCGGAGCTGCTTCAAACCTATCCGCGTTTCCGAATCAGCGAAGCGCCCCGGGGCCCCGGGGCCCCATGACCAGGAGGGTGGAGATGGGTATCCTTTCCAGTCGTTGCACCATGTTCACAGCCACCAAGCTGAGGCTGGGATTCGACTGGAAACAGATGGAAATGGAGGTGAAACCAAGATAAAGGAGGTTTACTGCCTGAAGATAGCTTGGAAACTCTAGAAAGAATTGGGCTGAAACATGATTGTCCTCTATTTCCCATGCAGTTTCGGGTGAAATTTTGTCAAGATATCCCAATGAACCTCGGGATCAACATATTTAAGAAGCATGAAACAAAACTGGTTTCATGATTTTTCGATGAACCACCATCTTTTATGGGATACCAAGAGCTTGAGATTCTGGGGTAAAGGATGATTTTTTCCTTGGATCAGTGGTGATTCTGTGTGTGCCAGCAATTCTGGTTTGGTATCGGATCTAAATCTAAACACTTTGGATCATTTGGGGGGCTGATCTGGTCTGGATATGTCTGGATGTATTTTGATTTTGGTTTGCAATCCAAGATACCCTAGGCCCTAGGACTGATATGTATCGGTTTCAACTTCAACACCATCCTTTGTTGAGTGACACCGGACATATGCCCATTTGGGAATGTTTAAGATGGATTATCTACCCGTTTTGTTGGTGGTCCAAGTTTTGTGTAGAGCACCCCCATTTTTGGATGCTAAAATAATAGTCTAATCGTCTTTTTTGAATCTCAAAACATCTAAAATCTATCCCATGACGGATCCATGGTGCTGGTATATATGCTAACATTGTTTGGGGGTATATTGATGGGATCCATGGAGCACCATATATAGCAGCACCATGGATCCGTCATGGGTATTGTTGGGAGTCTTTGGGGTTTACTATGGTTCACTCTAATTTCGAGTCACATCCCCACGAAATTCACTCAGACTGGATCCGATTGGATCGCAGCTGCAGGTGACGTGATTTTTATCAGCTTGCCCTGAGTCACTGAGCGCCTTCAGCGACTTGGGAATAAGATTGTAACATGTCTGAAACTAGATCTCTACTTTTTGGATGGTGATGTAAATAAAATATCATAATATATAATTATAATACAATAAGATGTCTCAGATTTCACAACAATTAGGATCAGGACGTCAATTCATAACAATACTTTTGTTATGGTGATGGGGATCCCTGTAGTGACAATTTTAGGTTCTTGCAGCAGATGCAGCTGTGCTTGTGGCACATGATCGCATGCATGTGCAAATGTGAATCCTTATGTCTCCCCAGCAACAACCAAAGGCAAACGTCAAATTCTCAGGACACGTAGCCGCAGAGTGTCGTCCACCTGTTTGACGAAACGGTCCAGGGGAATTGTGGCCGCAACGGAATGAATTTCACTTAACTGCCAAGAATTAGGGTACCATGGAATGACTTGTAGTAATATCTTATTATTTATTACCATTTGTTAACTTCTTGACCTCTGAATTTTTCTTGACCAACTGCCATCACTGCCATCACTTGCCCTGATTTGCCATGGATCTTTGCGTCTTTGCCACCAGAGCTCCGCTCGATCGCCAAAGTCGCGAAAAAAGCTCCGCGGCGAAGCCATGAGTGGAGTCAATTCACTGGTGATCATCAACGGTTGACATCCCCTTACGACTGGATTAGTTAGTTATGGGTTATGATTAGTTGGTTTCTTTCAGGGGTTTATGCCCCACTTAGAATCACTCAAGAAACCAACATGCGGCCCATCTTTCAGTAGACTCCGCTGGTACTCAACGAGTTGCTGATGTGGGAGATGGCCATTTCCATTCTCCATCCTGCCTGTCAGGTTTGGATCCAAGTCGCTGCGTGCGGAGTTTTGACGGCTGACAAAAAGGAGGTAATTCAAGCCTTATCAAAAATCGAAGATTGACCCAACATCCAACCTTTGGAGTTTTGAGATGTTTTCATGGCTTTCAACTGGCTTTGGAGAAAATCAACACGCATATTGCTGGGAACAGGTCAACATCCACCGGTTCTGCGCCATGGGTGTGGCTGGCGAGTTAAGGCGATCCTTCTTTGCGCTTCTCGGCGAGTTTTGGCAACGGTGGTGAAATTTGGAACATGGTGGATGAACAATGGTTTTATAATCACAATGGTTCATGTGGATGAAATTTGACTCTGGAATAATGCTTCACAGTGACTTATAGACTTATAGTATCTTATAGTGATCTATAGTGGTTAATGATACTTAATATAATGATGCATAATGATGCTTAATGATGCTTATATAATGATAATAGTTGAGAGTGGTGAATAATGGTGAACAATGGTGACCCTCCGGCGTCACCAAACGTGGCTGGGAAATGCACCTTCATCCAATGGAGCTTGGAAAATCATGGAGGTGTTTGGTTACCGGAGAGTAACCTCCAAAAAAATCAAACAAACATATCATATATTATATATACATACATACATACATACATACATACATACACACATGCATGCATGCACGCACGCATGCATACCTACATACATACATGCATGCATGCATGCATGCATACATACCTACCTACATACATACATGCATGCATGCATGCATGCATGCATGTTGCATGCATACATACATACCTACCTACATACATACATACATTCATGCATGCATGCATGCATGTTGCATGCATGCATGCATACATACCTACATACATGCATGCATACCTACCTACCTACCTACATACATCCATACATACATACATATATACATACATACGTTCATGATAATCCCTTCTGTATAGAAAAAACAGGGCATCTGAGATTGGGAAACGTCATCTATACTATCCATGGAGACACTTTTTGGCATCTTTTTGGGGGTTGCTACAAGGATGACATGTTTTTCAATGGTTGGGGAAGGGTCAACCTTGTGTAGCATGAATCTAGGGGAAACCAGGGACCCAAAGTATTTTTTCTTCAGGTTTTTCAGTGGTACATTATGTATATACACACCATGGTTCAAATTAATCATCAAACAACCATCAACAAATAAGTACTTCTAAATCTTCCATTTTTAAGGTTCCCATCACATTCATCATCCCCAAGTAATATGGCACCTTTTTTGGAGGATTATTTGTGTGAGGGTAATCCTTGTAATTCAACATAGCTATTGAAAACAAACATTTTTAAGCTCGCTAAATCCCCGAACTAAATGGGCCATGGCTTCCATACCTATATGTGAAATTACCAGAGGGTACCGCATTACAATTATTTTTCACTAGATGTATGGTAAGCCAGAAAAGGATGACAAGTCTTCCAAAATTTCAATTAGTAACCCAAAAAAGGATAGAAAAGTGTATCTGCCAAAAATCTAACCATGGTGATTTCAAGGGTGATTTTTGTTTCATCTTTTCAGAGATTGGCTCTGGCTAAAAGCCCAGCATCCAGGCAACGTGCGCAGCCCAGAGGCCGCACAGGCTTTGAGGGTGATCCATGGGCCTGGCAGTGTTCGAAAGATTATGACAATTCAAATTGATAAAGCTATGAATGAAATGGTAAGATTAACTATTTAAATATATAGCTATTATGGCAAGTAACATAGCTATGAAATGGTAAAACCAATAATTATAATGTATTATAATCATAATTTCATGGTGATTAATTATTGATTAATTGATTAATTTTCAGATAAGGAACATTTTTTTGAACATTGATAATTAACTAGCCCCCAAAATAGATATTCCAAAGATATGTAAAGATTAATGTGGTAAACCTAATGCCATAAAGCATCCCCAAGTCATCACAAGTTTTATGGTTGCTCTCCATGTTGACCATCCCGAACTGGGAGTTCTTTGGTTTTTTTCACTGGACCTGGAAATGGCGACATGTTCATCATGTTTCAAGCCAGAAAAAAACGGCAGTTGAAGTATTTCAACATATGGGTATGGGTCAATACCTATAGATACATTCTTAATGGGATGAACATCCATTTACCAGCTATTTTGATGTTCACCAGGGATACAAGGTTTTGACACACTGCCATATTTCAAGCATCCATTTTGAGGGCCCAGTGACTTTATCACATGTCCAAGACATGTCCGAAATACGGAGACCGACGGAGACATGGAGGGCCCTGGAAGGCCCTGGACCATATTTCTCGGGATGTTTGTTCTATTTGTAGGTGAGATCAAAAACTGCCATATGTGTTCCACATGCCATGCCTATGGAACTTGGCAGCACTATCACTATCATTAGTTTGCTATTGAATATGATCAAACAGGTATAGAATGACTATCGCTATCTCACTAGGTATGATCAAATATTATTGAATGACTGTTGGTCCACGAATGTATGACCTTACGTTGGAGTTGTTTTTTCTCATTTTAGTATATCAAAACGATGGTTGGTCAATATTGGTCAATATCTAAGATGATATTTCATGATGAATCAAATGATAGGTATACCTATTTATATAGGTAAATGATAACGACCTCACTGCGACCTGAATATAATCATGGTTAGTAAGGGGAATCATCCCCAAGATAGCCTTATTTCAGGTTAGTGAATTATTGTTATTTACCCAGATATACATACAAGATGGTAACGTAACCTCGCTATGTTGGTCGTGAAAACTCCTGGCTACTTTGTTGCAGGTCACGAGAGCGGCAGTTCCCAGGTGCCGACAGTGATGATGTACGATTGAATGTAAAAAGAAGATCAACCTTTGGTAAACGAACATAACTTACCCTCTGGTAAACATATACCCTGAAAATAACCCATTTTTAATGGACACTAATTTTCCAACCCCTATCAGGGTCTATGTTAATTTACTGGAGGGTAACTAAGGCAAATCACCATTTATAGCTATGTAATTCTACGATAAATGGTGATTTTCAGTGGCTATATTAGTTTACCTCAGGGTTAAACTCCAATTTTGAGAAAAAATAATAGGACCATTGGGAAAACGGGAAACCCATTTTTTTTTAGGAACATTGACAAGAATAAAATTTCGATTTTAGGGAATATTAAGATCGTATAGTTAGAGGTAGACTTCAGGAACTTGAGTTTTAATTAAGAAAATCATGAGAAAGCATTGTTTTTGCGGGGACTCTACCTAACTAAGAATGTGGCGATTGGTTTACAAGCCACAACATATCCCACTCACAATTCACCAGTTGCCTACCATTCGCTATATTATAAGTCAAGGTTCATAGTAGGATCTATTTGAGATTGTGTTGAAATGGAGAATAAACCAAATTACCATTACAAAATCATAAAGCTTATGATATACCCATGTTTGCGTGACATACATATATACCATGTTGTTGATCAATTGATCCATCATTTGTTAAGACCTTATTGAGGGAGGAATATGATATCCTAAGCCTGTACCCCAGTATTTCAATTCCACGGATATTAGGATTCAATGTTGAAACGGCAACTTGACTTCACCTTCCAAATTGGCTTGAGATCATCTACAATCCGAAAAGGACATGATTTTCCGGGGATATGAAAACATAATTGATGGTTTTTGCTGGTTCTTGATAGGAAAACCAGCATTTTTTAAGAACGTTTTTAAACGTTGGAACAGAGTTGAAATCGCCCGTCGGTCACTTTACATCACCTCCATCTAGTCGGAGAAGATGGCCAATTGGTCTCATCGTTGCGTGCATTTGATTTAGGCTGATTAGCGCTGGCAGAAATATATATATATATATGTATATGACATAAATATGTGTATAAATAAATATATAGGTATAATATAATATATATGATATAATTAAGCACATATTACTTTTCATCCCGAGAAGGGTTAAATTAAAGCTCTGAGACCATCTGTTCTTGGCCACCAGCCCACCTTCTCCAGGTGAAAAGTTCCAAGTCAGGCGACCACCAACCGCCCGGGTTGGGGTTCCGCAGCTGTTCAGGGCTATAGTAGAATACAATATACAATAATATGTTTTATATATGCATAAATATACGACCCATTTAAATTGTCAGTTTGGCGATGTTTTTTATTTGGGTTCATTGCAAGATATTACTCGTACAAGAGATTGAAGTCCGGAAATGGGCTATTACGCACGATTTTTCATGTTATCGTAATGATACTGTAAGGAATCCTGGTTTCATTTATGGGACCTTGGAATGGCATTGGCGGGCAATGGCATGTGGACAGCAGTAATCAACCATGGCGATGGACATGCCACGTTGCCGGAGGCCACCTTCCATCCCAAGGTCCAGGTTCGAGTCTCGCATTAAGAGTTGTCCTTCTCAAAGTTTCAAAGCCTCGACTTTTTGACATGGATCAAAACTAACCATGTACGTAGCAAATTGATCCAAATTGGATATGGTTCTATGATTTTCTATATATTTCTCCTCTATCAGGTCTCTTTCTTCACGTCAACGAAACAAACAATGCTTGCTGGAAAATCTCCCACTGGCAAATAAGTCGTTATCCCCGTGTAAATAGACTTCTGTAGATTCTGTTGTTATTCCAAATAGGAAAGCCCCAGATGTACATATGTATATAATATTATATAATTATATATATACATAAATATAATATACATCATAATTCCAAGTTGATTTCCAGAGCCACGGTTTTTTTTTACCGGCCAGAGGGGGCATTTCCGGTCTGGTGTGGCCAGGTGGAGGTAGTTCCAACAACAACCGTCCACGAAGTCGGTGCATCGGGGTTCTGTGGTGTGTTTCTGGCTGGTGCTTTGAGAAGACTATACCGGAATACCATCTGGTTATTTGTTACATAGCCATGGAAAATCCCTTATCAATGGAGGTTTTAATGGGAAAATCATCTATAAATGGGCCATTTTCTATGGCTATGTCAAATAACCAGAGGGTAGTATATAGATCTGGGTAAATTATAACGACCTCACTGCGACCGAGCCCTGGAAATCATGGTTTTTGTAAGGGAACTCATCACCAAATGGCCGCAAGATTCAGGTTAGTGAAATATTATAATCTACCCAGATAGATGTGATGTAGACAAGATATATATGTAGCTGGTTTCTGCTGGGATTTATATATGTTTATATAACATTTGCTTGGTTTTCTTTGGAACATTTTTTTTCTTTTCCCCAATAGTTGGGATGATAATCCAATCTGACGAACTCATATTTTCTGTTTAAAACCACCAACCGGGATGAGATTTGAAGATTTGATGAGACGATATAGTAGAAACATGCGAAAAACTGTACGTGCATATATATATTATATATTATATATTATATAGAGAGGGAGAGAGACACAGAGAGAGATATGGTAAACTTTCCAGATTTGGGAAAACAGCTCGCAACCACAAATGCTGCAGTCTTGCAACCTCAGAGAACTTGAAGACAGTGGCAGACTGTAAGGTTCTGCCTGCTCCAGAACCCCGAGACATTGCTATCCGTTCGTCTATTCTATATGTTTGGATGAATAGCAACTACTCAGTGTGACGTCACTGGAATGATGGTTGGTAAGGGGAGCCATCCCAAAATATCTTTATTTCAGCTATTCTCAGGAAAGTGAATTAATCTGCAACTATCGAGCCAGACTCTTGAAGACATGATCTGCAACTATTCCATATGTGTGCAATTTGTATCAGCAGAAAGTGCATTGCTTTCCGATTCTCCTTAGTATGTTTTCTTAGGTACGATACTTCCACCAAGAAACGAGTTTTGAACATTCCGACAGATGGATTAGAGAGTCATTCGTAAAGTTGGATGTAATATATATATATATCTATCTATATCTATATCTATATCTATATCTATATCATTATCATATATATATATAATCAATGTAATATGGAGCTTTCCTAAGTCATGGGGGTACGTAGCTGTCCATCGCATGGTAGGCGAGGGGAGCGCCCAGAGGCACAGCCGTGTTGATGTTTCATGGGGATATAACATGGGGGTATAACGGGGAGATAGTATAACGGGGAGATAGCTCGGATATAATCATGCACCATTAAATGGGGATAATGGGGATATAATGGTTTTAATGGGGATATAATGGGGATATATAATGGGTATAATGGTTTTAATGTTGTAGCTTTGGTTGTGGTTGATTGTATATCTTGTTTAACCATAGAAATGAGATGGTCCTACTCAAAGGAACAAGTCACTATAGATTCAAACTGGCTTTGTCTGAACCTAGGGTACCCCAAAGTCCAGTTGTTTAGCGGTTTCCCTGTCAAGTAGTTTCTTTTTGTTAAGGGTGTATACATACCCCAATTTCAGACACAAACAAATACTCTGTGAAACCAAAAAAAAGCCCTTAATATACTTTTTTAAGGGATGATAGTTACCACATTTACCACCCATTTATTGTGATTTTGGGAATGGTTTATGGTTTACCACAGCCTCTTTGCTGTCATCTGAGACACCCGAAAGCCTCCGTGATGAAGGTCGATGACGTTGCTCGGGCGTCCTACCGGGGAAGGAGCAACAGGCGGATGGGTCGGATGGGGGGGTGAAGCATGGCTACCCTTTGGTAAATTAACCGTTTGCTATTGATAATGGCCCATAGAAATAGTTCATTTACCTATTAGAGTGGTGATTTTCGATAGTTATGTTCGTTTACCAGAGGGTACAGGCTTGATTGTCAGCAACAACGTAATGCCCAGCTAGAAATCTTGTTGAGTCTAAGTGGGTTTTTCCGGTTAGCCGTGAATTTAAGGACCTATTTGACCATTGGTCAAATTATTGACCTAACAAAAAGTGCCATTGGCCGTGACGAAAGAAAAAAAGCAACCCGCAAAGATGGCAATCAGGTTTTCTGGAAGCATATGCAAATGGGTTAAAGCGCAAAAACAGATGGTTTAAGTTGATATAAACTAAACATCTCTAAACTTGATGAAACATATCTCAATATATTCAACACATTTCCAAACAGCTCTTCAAAAAATGCCAATTTCCCCACAGGGCATACCCCTTAAGTATCCCTTAAAATGGTGAAATCCTGACCTTTGATGGCCAAACTTACCAAAGAAATGCCTCTTCCTCCAGGGCATCCAGCCGTTCACGACGGACGCCCTCGACAGCAAGGCGGCGGCTAGCGGCTAGCTGGATGCTGTATATTGGAAATGTCCAGTTGGGGGAATGGTGATTTAACCATGATTTATCATGATTTATCCATGAAAAGTTGGAGATTTCAGTAATTTAACCATCAACAATGGGGATTTATCGGTTAGGCCCTCGCATTGGAACGCAGTCAAAAGCGTCGCTTTGGACCGCGGTCTCAAGCATCGCTTTGGAACGTACCTGATCATCACGATCTTCATCCCCGTTTAAGGCCATACATCAACATCAACATCATCATCATCAACATCAACATCATCATCATCATCATCATCATTATCATCATCATCATCATGATCATGTTTCTTTTTTGTCGTCGTCATCGTCATCATCATCATTATTATTATCATCATCATCATCATCACCATCACCATTACGTAAAGGTGCAGCGTGAGGCTTGCTGGCTGGCGTGGCTCCATTGCGGGATCAGAATGCTGCGCTGAAAGTCCTGAAAATGGTGCTTGTGTGCGCATGTGACACTTGCAAAGCTGATTGCGCTAATCTCTCGGTCGAAGGAAAAAATAAAGCCATTCCTCTCTGTAAAAAGTGTCTCTGTTTAGAAACTAGCTCGGTGTCCGAGCCACTTCACCCCAACTCACCGCGACAGGACGATAAAAGTGCAGTGCCTGTGTCTGCAGGACAGCAAGAAAGATGATGTTTGATGCGTGCAAACCGCCTAGAGTGGAACTACGAGAAATGTGCATGTGATCAACAGGGATCTAATGCGTTGGTAATGGTGTTTTCATTCAAACTGTCAACGGAAACACGTGACATGCGCCGTTCTCAAACAAAACCGGCGGTTCATTGCTTTGCGGGTGGCCGATTCATGCTGCCATGGATGACAGAAAATGATTCCCATGTTGTGCTGACACTTTTTTTTTCTACCCACGAGACCCATTTGCTATGGATTGTCCCAGGCACCTGCCGATTTTGAAATATGGGACGGTTTGCGTGACAAATTTCCAACCTGCTGCTCCACCATGCCCCCGGCGGTCGCAAGGCTGTGCCTGTGCGTGTACAGGAACATGCGTTATTGTCCCACCCCACCCCACCGGTAACTGATCATGAAAGAGCAGTGGTTGTGTCTGCGGGACAGCAAGAAAGATGATGAGGTCGCTGTGCCTGTCTGTGTGTGCACAGGAACATGAACGTTATTGTTCCATATTGTTCCACCCCACCCCGCCCCACCCCACCGGTAACTGATCATGAAAGAGCAGTGCCTGTGTCTGCTGGACAGCAAGAAAGATGATGAGGTTGCTGCGCCTGTGTGTGCATAGGAACATGAACGTTATTACCCCACCCCACCCCACCCCATTGGAACATGAATGAGAGATGATCAGGGTGCGCAAGTGAGTGACATTTTTTCCTGGGTGCGCAAGTGCGTGAGGGTGCGCATTTTGAAGAGGCTTGGCTTTCTAACGACTATAATTTTCATAGGAGGCCTTTTTTTGTAATTTTGAGTCCACTAAAAAACGTAGATCGAGATCTCATTGGAAGCCGACCTGGCAACTCGTTTGAAAGGAAATTCTCGCTGCTTATGCATGTAGATGCCTGCAAGGCACAAGAGATTGTGGAAAAACATAGGAGGCCTTTTTTTGGTCCTGACCTCGCTTTGGAACGCGCCAGGCTTCCAAAGTAGTGCGCCTGTCAGTAAATTTCATGTCTGTGTGGCTGGCATTGTTTTGATGATGTGTATCATGTTGTGTTCCAAAATGACTAAAATGGCTGTGTTCCAAAGTGGTGCTTCAGACTGTGTTCCAAAGTGATCCTGCTACCTGATTTATCCATGAAAAGTTGGGGATTTCAGTAATTTAACCGTCAACAATGGGGATTTAACCATATTCGGTGGTTTAATATGAATATAGTAGTTTAATACATATCTAACACCAATGATTTGGTTGTATCTGAAAATGATCAGTATACCCACCAAACGTTTTTTTTAAAGGAAAATCATGATAAACAAGATTTCTGGACACCTTACTTTAATATATTTTAATGTTTAAGATATTTTAAGACAATCCGATGTCTAATTATTAGAGCAAACGCATTTTCTTCAAAATGGATAAGATCCGTTGGAATCAATGGACAATCCTAAGTTTCAATGGGAACATGTTCTATAAATGGATGACATATGTGATTTTGTAGTATGCTGTGATTGAATACCAAGGAATACCTCCAAATTTTGGATCGAGGCTATCTTAATATCTAAAACAGATCTGCAAACAGTATACCATCCGAAATCATGTTTGATGACACGGATATGTCTGATTTAAACAATCAACTGTATTCTTAGTTAGTGGTTAACCACTATTAATCATCATTATTAGTTAGTGGTTAGTTAGTGGTTAACCACAATAATGATGATTCATAGTGGTTAACCACATTAACCACATTAACTAACTAATCATCATTATTAACCACAACCACTCTCAACCATTCAACGCTTCAGGTGGGTCGTGAAGGCCGTGCCCAGCTGCAGCTCCGCGCCAGCAGAGGCCGAGCCGGCAGCGCCGGCGGAAGCCTGTGAGCCAACAGCGCCACAGGAGAGCGGCCTAGAAGCAGGTGTGGTCCAGTCATGTTGTAGTTTCGGGGATACGGGGATGATACAGAACTATGCCAAGAAACTATACCATGGTTGACTTTTTGGAGATATGTGTATTTGCTATCTACTATAATCATATATATATATATATATGTTTACTGTGTAGTGATGAATGCAATGATAGACCTGCAGAATTGGATGGTGTTGTACCAAGGGTTTTTGGGGAAATTGGGGATGGTGTCATATCTACAGTAGATGCAAATACACATATGTATACAATACCAGAACCCGATTATGACCCTAGTCTTAGAAGTGACGTGAATGACATGATCCACATAATGCAGTCTTATGCAAAATCGGCGTCATTCAGTTCCTGGTATAGATATGTTTTAATGTATATTAATTATAAATTATAAATATGATATATGTGATATGATGTGATATGTATGATTCAATGAAGACATACATTTTTTCCATCATATATACCCGCAGATTTTCAGGTCCTGGGTGCCAAGCAGCTGAAGAACCAGCAGCCGAGGAGGCCTTGGATCATTTTTCTGTGGTTTGTAACATGGCTGGATTACCCTCTGGTAATGACTAACATAGCTATTGAAAATGGCCATAGAAATAGTGGAATTTCCCATGAAAAATGGTGATTTTCAATAGCTACGTTAAATTACCAGAGGGTATTTTTCCATATTGGGAATGTCATAATCCCAACTGACTAATAATTAAAAATATTAATATGTTTCAGAGGGGTAGGTATACCACCAACCAGGTAATCATGTTCCACATTAAAATGGCCATGAATAGGTCATAGCTTTGCCATGGTTTTGCAGAAACCTGCATGTCATACCATGATTGTCCCTTATACCACATATGTACATGCATTTTCCATTGAAATCCATTATATCCCACTACATCATGTGAGATTCCATGATATCAATTTACAGTACAGTATGGTATTAGATTCCACTAAATTCCCATGATATTCCCTTTGGGTTATAGTTATCCCACCTGTTCTCCCAGAAATAGCTCAACCAGCCTCCGACTTGAAAAGAAGGTCAGCGAGACTCACGAAGCTGGCAAAGCTCCCCGGCAGAGGAAAAGGGACCCGGCCGGAACCGCTGCGGAAATTGTCTTACCAGCAGAAAAAATCATTTCTGCAGGTAAAATCACAGTGTTTCAAATGATCATATATACTTTGTATATCTTTGCATGACATATATATATATAATTATAATTATATATATATACGGAAAAAAAATATATATATATATATAATTACACATGTGTTTTTGTGTTGCTTCATTTGTTTTCAATTTCCATTCTGCACATAGTTTCAATTGGTTTCTTTTGGGTGTTCCTGCCCGCGAGGAACCTGAAGCACAACAAGGTGCCGCTTAAAGATCGGGATTCAACATGGGATAAAATGGGAGTTTGGTAATCGAAGATGTGGGATCTTATATTTTATCCTATTATTTGATAGTTGTATCATTTAAGTCTGATAGTTATAATTAAATTCTGATAGTTATATAATTTAGCCTATCAGATTTATCAACTATCAAACATGTCATATTTGGATGAACGTAAAGAATTACCAGAGAGTTTGATGTGAATTTATAGGTCAATGAATCGCAATCTCTTCCAGCTGACCCAGAATTGGATGGAAAGATTCTGCAGGAAAGCCTTGGGTTTGTATAGATGCTATTAAAAAACTGGGGTTTCCAATGTTCCCGAAAGACCAATCCATTGAAAGGTGCCAAGTTGCGGCAGCCATGTGGCAATTTCGAGACGCATCCAAGACATCATGCCAATGGGGGTTTCATATTCCTTATCTTCTTCAGGGGCTGGGTAAATGTGCAATTTGGGGTATTTTTCAACATCACATTCAAGATCTTCAAGTATTTAATGGATATTATATACCCAAATTACCCAATAGTTGGATCTTGGATTATGTTCAATTAGGACATTTGCCAACCCAAGTTTTTTCGGAGGAAGCAGGCAACAAACCTTAAAACCAAGACTCAACCAGTTGATTGGTGGGTGGGCTGAGGTGCCACCACCAGTCGAGATCCCCAGATATAAATCTGGGTAAATTACTTACAACGACCTCACTGTGACTGGACTCATGGTAAGGGTAACTATCATAGCCTTATTTCAGGTCAATGAATGATTGTAATTTACCCATACATATATATATATATATACAGTTATATACACTTATAATAGTATACATACATATATAGACTTGTAAACGGTGATATTCCCAGATAATCCCAGATGTCCTTAGTCCTTGGCCTATTTTTTTTGGCTGGCCGGTGACCAAAAAAGCCACCATCGAAGCCATGGAAGCCATGGCCAGGTGCTGAACGGACTCGGACCTGAAGGACCTGAACAGCTGGGAGCTAAGGATCATCCTGGATGGTGGATCCTGGGGGTTCAGATGTGGAAAAGCCTATGGTGAAATCTAAGGAAAATGATCTATAAATTGTTGTTTCCTTGTATTTTTCCACATTTGTGTGAGTTTACCCCAGGGTATACTAATTGATTATAGGATATAGAATGGGCCACAGTCGCCAGTACGGGAAATAGACAATATAAGTCCACTATACATAATGGAAATGCTACTCCCATATTACTGTCATACTACTGCCATAAGAGACCTCGATTCCGTATGTGAAGATTCGAAATGGGGTCCCATCAGCCAGAGGGTCCGTATAGATTCAAGGACGAAATCACTCAGAAAATCATGGGAACAGTGAAGTGAAATATAGAATGGGATCGGGTCCGGAGTCCAGACGTGATAGGATATATAAAATACTATAACATGGCACATTTTTACCATCCATAGTGGCTATATAATGGAATACATTTTTTGACATCTATATTGTATATGTATATATATATATATATCTATATATTTAGTCGGGTAAATGTAACTTACCTGATATGATATATGTGTTTGTCACAAAAAGAGGATACCCCAAAGTTTCGGCCAAGCTAAAGAATCGAGCCATTTTGACCACTTGAAAGGGGTACCCTCCTGTAATCAAACATGGCACTGGAAAATCCACCATTTGTATATAGATTAATGTCCCATTAAAACCCCTTTGTATATATATATATATATGTATATAGATGTATGTATATCTATATATATATATGCATTATATGTATGTATAAATATATATACATATATGTACTATTTGTAATTATTTGTATGTATATATATATGTATATATATATGTATATATATATATATGTATGTATATATATATATATGTATGTATGTGTGTATGGTATGGTATGGTATGGTACGGTACGGTACGGTACGGTACGGTATGGTATGGTATGGATGTATGTATGTATGTATGTATCTATGTATGTATGTATGTATGTATGTATGTATATATACATATATACATATATACATGATTTTTAATTGCTACATTTGATTACTGGAGGGAAATGGTGGTAAATCTTCCCCGTTTCCTGGCCAAAGGTTCGACCTTGCAGCGTGTGATACCGACGACAATGAGGTGGGTGAAGTTGGGTGAGGTCCATTTTCCAGCAGAGAGCTCAAATAATCAGATTGAAACGATGGGCACTGAGGGGAAATGATGGAAACAATGGAAACTGACAGAATATGATGAACACGTCTAAAGATGCTCCAGAAAACAACGCTGAAATTTGGAGGAACAGTTCTTTCCTTGAGAGACATTCATCCTTTACACATGGCAGCTGAGTCAAGGTCCATAATCCTGGAATTCTGGTGGTTTCTGGTAGATTTCTGTTCTCTAGCAAAAACAAAATAGAAACTGGGGCTGCAACTGGCATGACTCGCTAACTCGCAGCATAAAACCACTTATAACATCTTATAACCCTGAATCGTGCAATCTGATACGGCCCCCTAAACAGCGTGGCCACACTGAGGGGTTCTTACGGTAACAGTTAAGGGCCGGTGTTCAATCGAGGTGGTATCGGAAGCGTTTGGCATTTTCCCTCTAAATTGCGGCACAAAAAATGCCTCTTCTGACATGTCCATGTGCATTTCGACTCCGCAGGCTCGCACAAAACGCTGGCCGTGGGAGAAGCATCCGGCATTTTCCCTGTCAATTTCCAGACAAAATGGCTCTTGTAAAATGCCCGTATGCATTTCGACTGCGCAGGCTCGCACAAAACGGGTGTCCAGGATTGGCGTACGACACTTTTCTTGTAGATTTCCCCACAAAATGGCTCTTGTGAAATGTCCATGTGCATTTAGACCGCACCGGCTTTTGCAAAACGAGACATCTCATACAGAAATCTTGCCAAAAGATGCCTTAGAGGGAGCTTATACAGAGATCTTGTTCAGAGATCTTGCCAAGAGACACTTTGCGGAGATCTTGCCAATAGAGCTCGTGCAGAGATCTTGTACACAGATCTTGCCAGGAGGCCTCTTATGGAGGAGATCCTGCGCAGAGACCTGGTGACGGAGAGCATTTCTAGATACCTTGAACAGAGATCTTTCTTTGAGATCCCTTATAAAGACCTTCTGTGCAGATTTCCTATATGCCTATCTTGTACAGATAGCCTTATAGAGGGATCTCGGACAGCAATTTCTACAGAGAACCTCTTCTACCGAGATCTTGACAAAGGGAGCTTGCAGAATCTGACCTGGTATCTTTTTTCCCCAAACAGTGTGGCCACACTGAGGGGTTGTTACGGTAACAGTTAAGGGCCGGCGTTCAATCGAGGTGGTATCGGAAGTGTTTGGCATTTTCCCTGTAAATTTCCGCACAAAATGCCTCTTCTGACATGTCCATGTGCATTTCGGATTTGACTGCGCAGGCTCGCAGAAAACGCTGGCCGCGGGAGAAGCATCCGGCATTTTCCCTCGAAATTTCTCACCAAATGCCTCTTGTGACATGTCCATGTCCATTTCGACTGCGCCGGCTCGCACATCATCATCATCACCACCACCATCATCATCATCATCATGATCATGATCATCATCATCATCATCATCGTCATCGCCATCACCATCTTCATCATCAGCATCATCATCACCATCATCACCATCGCCATCATCATCGTCATCACCATCATCATTATCATCCCCATCCTCATCCTCATCCCCACCCTCATCGTCACCATCATCGTCATCGTCATCAACATCGTCATCATCATCATCATCGTCATCGTCATCGTCATCATCATTTTTCATCCTTCATCATTCATCATTCATCATTCATCATCATCATCATCACCACCAGTATCAGTATCAATTTCAGCACCACCACCACCACCACCATCATCATCATCATCATCATCATTATCATTATCATCATCATCCCAATCATTATCATTATCATTATCATCATCATCATCATCATCATCATCAAGATCAACATGAGCATCATCATCAACATTAACATCACCAGCAATATGATAATACATTCTCCTTTTGCTCCCCCAACGCTGTTTGGGGTCTCTTGCCGGGATAATGTATAATCCTGGTGGAAATGTAACTTATACACCTGCAACCCTTGATCAAAGAGGGTTGACATTCAAAATCCCCATCTAACATCTAGGCCACCTGCATTCATGGCATCCATTTCAGCAAAATATCAACAGCTTCATGCCTGCAATCGTGGTATTCCGTAAGTTTGATGCCCGCGTTTTGATAGCACGAGCACTCATCATAGTTGACAACATCCACGGTTCTACAGCGAGGATCGAGAACATGAATGGTCCAGTAATGTGGTAACCTAACAGCAAATTTCTCTAATGTTGATTAATTTTGGCCAGAAAATGCCAGAAATAGATAACATAACCACCCCCATAACCTAAATTTGTTATTGGTTTTACCCACTTAGTATCTATCCTTGTCCAATTGATTATAGAATAAATCTGACCCAATCGACAGGAATTCTTCCCTTCAAGAGCTGATTCTGATACCACCGATGGATGATAAATCCTTTGATTTTATTATCGAAAAAAATAAATTATAATATATTATATTATATTATATTTTTAATTTAAATAAATATATTTATATCTATTTATATATATATTATTATATTATATTTTATT